TTAATTTTTTGTGAAATTTTCTGTTAAATACAGTCACTTGCAAAAGTTTGGCTGCCCCTGGTCAATTGACATGTTGTTGATTTTTGGCTGCCCCTGGTCAATTGACATGTTGTTGATTTTTTAAGTGTAAATAAGTGAACACGTCCTCTACAGAGAACACACTTCTGCACATATTAAAACACAATCACAGTGTATTAGCTGAATTTAACATACTGGGGAAGCATAAAAGGGCCTGTGCAAAAGTTATGGCACATTTTATATTTAATGTTTTTACGTTTTCCAATATGTTAAACTGAGCAAATAAAACAATTGTGTACTAATTTGTTGGGGAATGTCATACTTAAGCCTGTGCCTTGTAAAAGAGGTGTTAACTTATTTTCACAAAACATAAAATTTGACTGCGTTTGTTCAAACGTTTGCATACAACTGTATATACTGTGCTATGCAAAAACAGTTTAGGCACCTAAACACATTATTTAAAGTATTTAAAGTTCATTTATCTTGGCAATATGTATGTAAGTTGTTGGAAATTATGAGGAAAACTTGATGGCAGATCAGAAATTAAGATGTAGACCAGTATGTGAGCAACAAAATGTTTTGCAAGAGCTGAAAACATTTTTATGGGTTTACAGAAAATGTTAGATGAAGCTAAAAAGAGGCAGGACAATGATCCCAAACATACCTTAAAATCCACGATTAACTTCTTCAAGAAATGCAAGCTGAAGTTTTTAGAATGACCCCCACAGTCACCTCACCTTAATATCACTGAACATAAACGAGTAGACTTTAAAAGTGTCCTGCATGCAAGATGACCCAAGAATGTCACAGAAGCAAAAACTCTGCAAGGATTTTATTCATCCAACAAACAGCCAGATAGTGGTGTGTGATTCATCACTCCAGAGAATACATTTACACTACTCCAGAGTCCGGTGGTGGCGTACTTTACACCACTCCAGCTGACACGTGGCATTGTGCATAGTGATCTTAGGCTTATGTGCAGCTGATCAGCCATGGGAACCCATTTCATGAGGCTCCTGATGCACAGTGCTTGTACTGATGTTGCTTCTAGAGGTAGTTTGGATCTCTGTAGTGAGTGATGCAACAGAGGATACGCATTTTTATACATTTTGGCAGCCCCACTCTGTAAGTTTGTGTGGTCTACTGCTTCATGGTTGGTCCTAGATGCTTCTTTTTCACAATGATAGCACTTACAGTTGTCTGGGGCGGATCTAGCAGGGCAGAAGTTTCACAAACTGACTGGTGGCAAAGGTGGCATCCTATGACAGTGCCATGTTTAAGTCACTTGGCTCTTCAAAATGACCCATTTATCTGCAAATGTTTGTCTACGAATGACTATGTGCTTGATTTTATACACCTGTTAGCAATGGTTGTGCCTGAAACACCTCAGTTCCATGATACAAATAGAGTATATCTGCCCATTTGGCCTATAGCAGATTAGTCAAGGCCACTCACACTGAAATTATAAAGAGCATTTTATGCCAATCTGCTTTTTGACTGTGATGTAATACAGGACAGCCAATCAGAACAGAGCTAATTTACATATATCTGTCTTACAGGGACACAAGAGCAGCCTATTTAGTTCAAAGGGCTAAAGAGATGTTGGAAAATTGTCATGTAAAAATGAATTATGTCTGTCTGAAAATGCTGGGCCTTTAGGATCAGAATAGGAGGCTCAGTAAAAAATCCTCAGCACTTAATAATCACACATAAGATCACAGAAAGTTTGGAGGGCCAGTTAGTCAGGAAAGCATGCCAAAGGCAGAGGAGCTGCATTACAAAATCAGGCTAAAGTGCATTAGCACCTTCAGGCTAAGATGCTGAGGCCTCAAACACCTGGAGAGCCTCTAACAGTTAATACTCAGAGGAGCAAGTGCGTGCTCAGTGGTGTCTTCTTCTTCTTCGTCAGGTTGAGCTTTGAGGAGGGGAGCATTATGAAGGAAAGCACGTTCATGGCTGTCCTTGGCTCGTGGGTGGAAAGGTTCAGAAAGCGTGGAGCCCACCGGATCTGCAGGAGAGCTCATCCTCCGCGCACCACAAAGCCTCCCTTCATCTCCTCCTCTATCACCCTCTATCCTCTCCATTGTGCGCGCGCCTCTGAGCGCTCCCCCTCTCTCAGGCCTGTCAGTGCTGCTAAATGAGAGCCCTGTCAGAGACGGAGCTCAGCTGCACGTATTCACGGCATTCACACTCTCACAGCAATCTCCTCACCACACACACACTCAGACACATCAGCTCATCATCTAAAAGAGACAAAAAACTCAGTCTCACCATTTTTCCTTTAGCCCAAATCCAGAGAAAAAAATGTCTTTATATTATTGCATAAGAAAACGATGAGCTCTTACACTTTTCTTATGGAAATATTACTCGGCTGAGACTGAGGTGACAGACACTAAAGAGTTAATCTATTTGTGTGACAATATTTTGATCAAAGTGAGAAAATCTGAGGTTTATTTATTTCTCCAGAGCTGATTTTCAGAAACAGGAAAAAATGGCTCACTCTTATTCCAAACAGGACTCAACCATGCCTACACTCTTAAAAAGGTGGTTCTTCAATGGTTCAATTGTGAAGAAAATAGTTCTATATAGACCCATGAACACTTAAAGAACCCTTTGCATGATTAAAGATTTCTTTGCATCGCAAAAGCGTTCTTCAGATTATTTGAGAATGTTATGTATATGTTTTATATGGTTATAGGGTTCTTCTACTGTTACGATGTCAAGTTTGTTACAATAGAAGAACTCCATTTTGGTGCAATATAGAACGCTTTTCTTGGTGACTCAGTACGTTTCTCTAGAACAGAGCATTTCACACAAATTTAACTGTATTTTTAATTGTTTATTTACGCAAAAATTTTGGAAAAAAAACTGTGAAGTTTCCCTTTAACATTCTACTTGAATTGGACCAGCTGAGTTCTGAACAGCCTGCTCGGTCCCTTTTGCTGCACTGCTACTTTTGGATGTTGTTGATGCAGCTACTTCTCTTGCCTGCAATAACAACAGCTTCCAAACACACCTCCATCCCACACACACACTTGCTGAAACACACACTTGCTTCTCACACACACTCTTTCTCACGCGCTGCCTCTTCCTCTGAACAGGTGCCCCTCTAAAGAGACCTCCCGCACAGTGCAGGGTAACAGCTTCAGTGCTACAGGCCAAAAGCAAATCCTCACACATGCAGAATTACTATCTACTTTAAATGTGTGACCAACCAGAGGCCTTTAAACAAGGCCCACAGGGCCCACAGCAAAATTAATCTTTCTATTAGCAATTAAAGTCCTTATGGTTTGAGATGTCAATATAATATTAACTGGTAATAGTTTGGAATCACTGTTTTCAATAACATGAAGCAATAGAGCCCAAGCTTTTTGTTTTGGGTGGACAAAAGGCCATGTTTGTGGGGGGACAGGGGCTCAAACGACAAACAAGTGAAAGGAAACATCAGAAATTAATAAGTCATGTAATCAGCCAATCGTGTGGCAGCAATGCAGCAGTGCATAAAATCATGCAGATTCAGGGAGTGACTTCAGGTAATGTTCACATCAGAATGAGGACAAATGTGATCTCGGTGATTTTGACCATTGCATGACTGTTGGTGGCAGATAGGATGGTTTGAGTGTTTCTATAACTGCTGATGTTCTGGGATTTTCACACACAACAGTCTCTAGAGTTACTCAGAATGGAGCAATAAAGAAAAAATAGAAGCAGTTCTGCAGACAAAAACACCTTATTGATTAGAGGTCCACAAAGAATGGACAGAAGACAGAAGGCAAACCTTGAGGCGGATGGGCTACAACAGCAGAAGACCACATTGGGTTCCACTTCTCTCAGCCAAGAACGTAAAGCTGAGGCTGCAGTGGGCACAGGCTCACTAAAGTTGAAAACTGAAAACACATAGCCTGAGCTGATGAATCTTGATTTCTGTTGAAGCACATAGAAGATAGGACCAGAATTTGGCACCAACAGCATGAATCCATGGATCCAACCTACCATGTGTCAGCAGTCCAGGCTGGTGGAGGTGGCGTAATGGTGTGGGGATTGTTTTCTTGGCACACTTTAGGCCTGTTAATACCAATCAACCAACGTTTGAATGCCACAGCCTGTTTGAGTATTGTTGCTGACCATGTGCATCCCTTCATGGCCACAATTTACCGTCTTCTAATGGTTATTTCCAGTATAATAATGCACAACTTCACAAACTTCTCACACTGTTTTATGAACATGACAGTGAGGTCAGTTTTCTTCAGCGGCCTTCCCAGACGCCAGATTTGAATCCAATAAAACACCTTTGGGATGTGGTAGAATGGGAAATTCACAGCATGACGCATTCATGTCAACATGGACCAGAACTCCAAAGGAATGTTTCCAACATCTTGTGAAATCAATGCTACAAAGAATTAAGGCTGTTTTTAGAGCAAAGGGAGGCCCTAACCAGTATTAGTGTTTTGTTCCTAATAAAGTGCTCAGTGAGTGTAGCATTACAATATGCTTGTTTTCTCACTTGGTGAAGGGGTGTGGTGGGATTAGGGCAACTGTCTGGTGGGAGAAATCAAACATCCTCACAGGATCCACAAGCATTTAATGCTGGTCTACGCTGGTCAGTGCTGGTCTAGTGCTGGTTTGGTTTAGCTGGTCATTCCAGCATGGTCATGCTGGTTGACCAACATACCAGCATCCAAAACATAACATATGCTGGTTTTGCTGGTGACCAGCCATGCTAGTCTATGCTGTTTTTTTCTAGCAGGGTTGTTGCAGATACAAGTATTAAATGTTTCTATAATGAGGCTGGTACTCTAAAAGCTCACAAGTGTCAAAGAATTAGTACGAAGCTAAAAAATTAAGAAAAAAAATGGTTTAATTCCCTAAACGTAAAATCCACTCTATAGGTTCATGGCGAGGAGACTGTGACCCCTGCTGGTACTGACACGCAACTACACCAGGAACTAATGCGGCGGAACCAACGAGTGCGCTGAGGAGTGAGAGGGGAATTATTTTGTGGGCGTACGATGGCAAACGTTGCTTAGCGAGTTTATTTGTGTTTTTAGAATTGAACGTTCATAAAGTAAACATTTCACTCATAAACAGTGCTCGACTCACACGAGATGACACCTATTATAGACCAGGTAGGTTAACTCTTAAATAACTTCTCTAACTTAGTTTTCTGAGAGGTTAGACTGCTGATGTGTGCGTTAGTAAAACCCTTTAAAGGGCTCAAATCCTGCATTTCCCTTATATGTTAAGTTACTTTTCTCCCTGATGTCTCCGTCCAGCTGTTTGTATGAGTTTATGTACCAAACCCAGTCGTAATTAATTTTGCATGACCATTTTCTAGGGCTGAACAATTTGGGGAAAATATCTAATTGCGATTTTTCTTACTAAAATTGCGACTGTGATTTAAATTGTTATTATTTTCTATGAATTAAGGTTCAGGTCTGTTGTTTTGGCCAAGAAGAGCAAAGGCAGCCAGTAAGTTGTGGTTGTGATGTCGCGATACGTGAAGGTTCGGTTGCCTCTGAGGAGTTTAACTCATATATAGGCAGTTCACACGCTCTGTGTTATTAAGTTAAATTTCCCCACTTAAAACTTAAGCTACACCTCATTGCAAAAACAATCTGAGCTGAAAAACTCCAGCTTATAAATCCAGTGCTATCGCCTCATTTGTTTTTTGTTGGTGGTATCACAAAATTAGTGAATTCAAAATGGCTCTGTTTCCATACATGGACTGTGAGTGAATGGTTTGAATAACTTTTATATTAAATATTGAAACTTTAGTAGTGCTTACTTACTACAATAAATTCTTATCAAAAGAAGAAGTGGAAAAAACCTTCATGATATTGGCCCTTTAAACCGTTAGCATTTTTCATGCTTCAGTAATCTAAAATGTTGATATTTTATCTTAATATTGATGTTGTTTCGTCTTATTAATGAGAGGTATTTAGTGTTGGCAATTAAATGATGCATCATTACCAACATGTAGGTGTGTAAACTGCTGTGTGTTCTGTTTCTCTCTTTGGATGAACACAGGAACCATACCCATGTTCTCTAGTCAAAGCAACCCAAGTAGATCTCTCTGAGGGCACTATGGCTCTGCAGAACAGGGACTCTACTGTAGAGACTGTATATTAGCAAATAAACTACAACCCTGTTTCCAAAAAGCTGGGACGCTGTGCAAAATGTAAATAAAAATAGAATGCAGTGATATGCAAATCATTTAAACCCTACATTTAATTGAAAACAGAACAAGGACAACATATCAAATGTTGAAACTGAGAAATTGTTTTTTTATTTTTTTATTTTTTTTAAAAATAAATGCCCATTTTGAATTTGATGCCAGCAACAGATTCCAAAAAAATGTTGGGACAGGGGCATGTTTACCACTGTGTTTCATCACCTCTTCTTTTAACAACACTTTGTAAGCGTTTGGAAACTGAGGGGACCGACTGCTGTAGTTTTGAAAGTAAAATGTTTTACATTTCTGGCTTGATGTAAGATTTAAGCTGCTCACAGTTTAGGGTCTTCTTTATTGTATTTGTACACCAAATGTTTCAGTGGGTGACAGGTCTGGACTGCAGACAGGCCAGTTTAGCACCCAGACTCTTTTAATACAGAGCAATGCTGTTGTAATCCATACCATCATGCTGGCTTTTGAACTGTGTGCTGATAACAAGCCAGGTGGACCCTCTCGTCTTTAGCCCGGAGGACGCAGCATCCATGATTTCCAAAAAGGAATTTCAAATTTTAATTCGTCAGACCATTGGACACTTTTCCACTTCACCTCAGTCCAACCTAAATGAGCTCAGACCCAGAGAAAGTGGTGGCATTTCTGGATGCTGTTTCTATATGGTTTCGTCTTTGCATGGTAGAGTGTTCCTGAGCCCATGCAGTGATTTCCACTACAGAATCATGTCTGTTTTAAATGCAGTGCTGTCTGATGGCCCGAAGATCATGACCATCCAGTACTAGTTTTCAGCCTTTTCCCTTGCATACAGAGGTTTCTCTGGATTCTCTGAATCTTTTAATGATATTATGTACTGTAGTTGATGAAAGTTGTTTGCTATTTTACGTTGAGAAACTTCATTTTTGAGTGGTTGCACTATTTGCCTAAGCAAACTTTCACAGAGTGGCAAACCTCTCCTCAACTTTATTTCTGAAAGACTGGGATGCTCTTTTTATGGTCAGTCATTTTTCTGACCTGTTGCCAGTTAACGGCCAGGTGTTTTTAGCATTACCCAACTTTACCAGCCTTTTGTTGCCTCGTTCCAACTGGTCAAAAGTCACCATGCCCAATGCCAAGTGTGGGCTACAGGGCTAGTGGCCTTGATGTCGGCGTCGATGTAGACAATTATGCAATATTTAAAATTCTAAATGTTATTTGGAAAGTGAACAGGGTCGTTGTAAATAATAGTTATTGCTTCTCATTTCCACTCTATTTACAATTCTAGAGTTTTTGAAACAGAAGATGTTACAGCTCATAACATGAAGAAGGATGGCTTTTTCGTTAATATTAGCTAGCTAACTAGCTAGATAGCACAACTATTTTACCGAGAAGAAGACAGTGGGCTGACGCATTTCTTCTTCAGGTGCTCCAACATGGAAGATGTGCTCCCAGGTAACACAACTTTAAGTGCAGTTTATCTGATGGGGACTGTTTTGGTGTCTACTAGGTCTTCCAGGTGGTTCTTAGGAGGCACATTTTCTCTGTGGCTTATAATCATCAACTCATGTTTTTTCACTTATTTCTCTAACTTTCTCCTTCCTTTTTGTAGAAAGTGTCCAGCCAGCCAGTCGTTTGTGAAGACACTAAGAAATGATGGTGTCCCGAAAGCAGAAAAAGGTTTGGCGGTATGTGGAGGAGGGAAGCCTCTTGAAGCTGAAGTCGTACCTGCGCAAACACAAAGACGTAGGCGTGAATTTTTCTCAGGGAAAGAGGCAACGGAGCCTCCTGCATCTATCCTGCTCTCAGGGTGATGATGCCATCCTCAGGCTGCTGCTGAAACACGGAGCAGATCCGCTCCAGAGGGACAGAAATGAGGACACACCGCTACACCTCGCTGCGAAAAGAGCTCGCAAATACGGCAAAAGAGGTAAACAAACACAGACATACACAGCCTAAAACCATACTCAAAAATGTTTAATATTCAGAAATATCTGATCCAAGAACTCACCTGTAGTCCTCCATAGAACTGCAGTAGAACATCTTAGTCCATCTGTCAGCATTAACTGAAGTTTGTTAAATTCCATTTTTCTCTTTTTGGATCTTTTTGGTCTAAAAAAAACAAATAAGCTTGATTAAGGAGGGACAAATGACGAAATCATATACGGCATTAACAGATATTTGCTTAGGGAAAAAAAAAAAATCCCCCCAAAAATAAAAAATATTTTATTTTTTTTATTTATTTATTTTTTTTACTCTAGAGGAGCAGAATTTTTATATGATGCTAAGTTACTGCATGAAAGTCTTTGCATTTTATTCATTTTACTACATTTACAATTACAATTATAAGTAAATGTAAAGTCTCTGTAAAGCTAATCCAGGTGGATGTAGTCCCAGGTTCCCAGAATTAGATATCTGCATCGACCCAGAATTCCCGTATCCACGCATTGCTGTGTGGAAGTAGATTTCAAATATACTTAATCAGAAGTAAAAGTATATGGATGGAACAGAATATATGGAACGGAATAAATAGAGCTGTTCACTACTCTTCTGAAATCTCAGTCCTGAAGTCTCAAGTCATTTTTTACTGTCAACGCTGTTACAGATTATGATGACCTGGTGGTTCCACTGCGGAAACACTGTCCTGCTGCCCTGGATGCGCCGAACAAAGCTGGAGTCACTCCTCTTGATCTGCTCCAAGGACTGAAATTTGGGCAGGTAAGGAGCTGTTCTGACTGCTGTGAAATTTAATACAAATACGAAAGGAGAGTTTCACTGATTCTCCATAATTAAATGTTTAAGATGTAAACAGAGTCATTCAGAGTGGTTTGGTGTAAAATGCTCTGTTCTAGAGAAACCAAGTCAGAATTGTTCACAGTGTTGGTGACAGAAACCAGACGTCCACCTCTAAAAGCTCCCTCACACAAAATTATCACATGAAATGGTTATGAATATATGAACTGCCTGATGTCTGAGACATTGATTGACGATAGCTTTGAGAAGGTTTTGGCCTAAAACACATGAGGTGAGGTGCATACAAGGCATTGTACAGCAAAGAAAACTTATTTTTTCAGATTTATCACTATTTTGCCATCATCAACATTATGTATAAAAACTCAGAAAACACATGTAGGTTCACTGTTTATTTAGATAGTAAATAAAATGGCTATGTGTGTTGTAGACATGGTTCCTATCGCAACCACTGTAAAGAAATGTGAGTCTAAGTCTCTAAATGACTTTGTTTACACCTTGAATTATGCAGAGATTTTGGAAAATAGGTAGAATTCACCTTTAAATGAAGGAACAAGACATCTTAGCCACCTGTGTTAAACTGTTCTACACTGTTCTACACTGCTCATGCAGCTATAGGTTTTAATGCGTTTATGAATGAATGAAGGACATTCTAATACAGTCTGAAGCTTTTACATGTGGAAAAGAGCTTATTTACATTCTATCATTTAGCTTTTGATTTCTCTAAAGTGACTGCCATCAGGCACCTCCTGAGATGGTGCATTGCTTCAGGGGAAGGAATAGAGCATCTTCTCTTTCTTCTCTCACCACAATATTCCTCACACTTGTGTCATTATGAACAGAAGAGGAGTGAAGAAGGAGACTCTCCTCAGCACACTGACCCTGAGCAGAAGTGGAGGGAGAAGCTGTTTGGTGAATGCCAGGATGAGGTCTTTGAGACATTTGGGCAGTATGATGGTAAGATTGTTAAGGCTGTATGTTTCACCTATAATGATGTCATATGATAGTTTGATAGCTGACTGTATGTGAGGGCATGTTTTAAGCAACATTACTAGGAATGTCTGATGATTAAGGCATGTTTTAATTGATCTGTATCAGTTATCTTAATGTTGTTAATAGGAACTCACATTCTCCTTTCATGCTGTTCTGTATTTGTGAGTGAAACACAGTATCAGCGAGGGTCTCTGATCTAGTTCAGCGTTTTCTCCCTATGATAGATGAGGGTGGTGGGAGGGAGAGGGTAAACATGATATTACTGGTTAACATTATTTTGGCCTGACCACTGGTGCACAGTGATGTCATCAAAAAATCAGATGTTTTAAAGAGGTGGGGCAAAAGTTATTACATGTTAATGGAGGAACTTTGTCTTTTAAATGATACTGTATGATGAATTGAGTTTACTATGACCTGGCACTAGCAAGGTGAAAATGGTAAATTTTGATTTCAGGATGGCTCTCAAAGTCATTGAGAGTGGTTTGGTGTGAAAAGGTGGATTGTAGAGACTCAAATTTCTTTACAACCAGGGGTCGCCATGACTACAACACAAATATAGACATTTTATTTACTATCCAAAACCATCAGTGAACCTACACGTGTCTTCCATGTTTTTATGTGGAATCTTGATAAAATAGTTGAAAATCAGAAAATAAAACTTTTCTTTGGGGACTATTTTGCCTCAAAACACAGTGCATGCATTCCTCCACCATGAAATAATAAAAAATGTTTTAGGGCTTTTTATCTTGAAACTATCATTAAAAAATATCTCACACATCAGGCAGCATATTCCTAAGCATGTTTTGAAGGTGCTTCTAGAGACATTAAAGTCTTTGGATGTCTGTAAACTCCACTGTAAACTCTCACTTGGTTAAATAGCCAAGCAATTTAAAGTGGAATTCCACAGTTCTCAAAATGTCTACATTATTAAATAGTTAAGATATAAACAAAGTCATTCAGAGTGGTTTGGTGTGAAATGCTCTGTCCTAGAGAAACTTACCGAGTCAGAATTATTTATTAGTGGTGATGGGAACCAGACATCCACCTCTAAAAGCTCCCTCACAGAAAAGTATTACATGAAATGGTTATGAATACACTGCCTGATGTCTGAGACATTGTTTTACTGTAGTTTTTAAAAGGTTTTGGCTTTTTAAAAAAATCATTAAAGGTGGAGAAATAAATGCAGTGTATTTTAAGGCAGAATTGTCCCCAAAAAACATATTTTTCAGATTTTCAACTATTTTACCATCATCAACATTCCCAATATAAACTCAGAAGACACATGTAGGTTCACTGGTGGTTTTGGATAGTGAATAAAATGGCTATTTTTGTGTTGTAGGCATGGAAACCACTGGTTCCTATCACCACCACTGTAAAGAAATCTCTACAATAAGTCTCTACAATGAGCCATTTCACATTATTCCACTCTGAATGACTTTGTTTACATCTAAACTATTGAATTAAAGAGAGCATTTGAAAAATTTGTGGAATTCCTCTTTAAATTGGATTAGTTTCACTGTCTTAAATGAACTTAGAACTGGGCACCTGTACTACCTACAAAAATTTGAACATTGTGCCATGGATTTGGGCAAAGAAACTTGACCTCTAAACATTACATGCAGGCCTACATCATAGTGAACCACCTAAGGTATTAAAGTGCCATTTCCTTTCATCTTTTCCAGATGACTTTCTGTGGGATGACAAAGACGAGGAAGATTTTGGAGACTGGGCGGAGCGGATCAGACGAGAGTACGCGGCGAAGCAGCAGGCCAGGGCACAGAGAGATGCAGCTTTTCACTGTAGGAAAAGAAAGCACAGGGAGCAGACAGAGGAGGAGGAGAGGAGCCGCAGGGAGCTTCACTCCAGGCTGGAGAGGGAGCACAGGGAGTATCTGGAGCGCGCTGTACGGAAGGAGGAGGAGACGAAGCAGGGAAAAAAGAGGCGTTATGAGGAACGCTGCGCTAAAACCTTCAGCAAATCCACCTCTTCTGGCGCGGAGACCAGCAGCATGCTGGGATACGACGACATCCCCTGGCCGGCACCTCGCGGCTCCCTGGATGAGATGTTGGCGGTGATGTTACACGGTGCTGACCGGTCCGATATTCCCACCTTCCGAAAGCTTCTCCGGCAGCAGCAGGCCCTCTGGCACCCGGATAAATTTTCCCAGCGCTGCGGCGGGCGGCTGCTGGAGAGAGACAGGCAGAAAATTCTGGATACAGTCACGGCTCTCTCTCAGGAGCTCAACAGACTGGCTCAGAACCTCCGGTGACACATAGCATGCTGTGACCATATGCAATTTTAGTTGCCTAGTTGGTTCTTGGCTTGGAATTATGGTAAAAAAAATGTAACTGGTAATGGCTAAACCTTTGAAGGGCCTGTATCATGGCAAAAAATGAATTTCCCACTCTTTGTTTAAATAAAAGAGTATGAAATAAAATGTAAACATTGTTTTAAAATGTAACATTCACTTCCTAGTCTATACAGTCCATATATGAAAACTAAGCTGTAACTGTAGTCTGTTGTGAATTCATTGTTTCTGTGATGTCATAAAATCAACTCATTTACATGTATTCATCTTATTAGCCTATAGCAGTTTAGCCCAGGCCACTCATACTGAGTGCTTTTTGAATGAGAGCAGCCAATCAGAACAGAGGTCATTTACATATATCAGTCTTAAAGGCACAGTAACAAAAACAGCCTATTGAATTCTAAGGGATAAAGAGAGGTTGAAAAATGGTCATGTAAAAATGAATGATGACCTTTTTTGGTACATAAAACCACACAAATTTTATAAGTGGACCAAAAAAAATGAAAAAATTGTTTTTTGGCATCGCCCTTAAGAACATTTTTTTTAAAAATACTGAGAATAAATAAAATAAAAACATAATTGTAAAAGAGAAAGAATAAGAAGAAAATAAAACAAAAAAAAAAAACGGTCACAGGACGTGTATTTCTTTTCTAAATAGTCAATGCACATAGTTCAGGGTGGGCGGAAGGTCAGAAGGTCCATACGGGGGAGATCAGGAAGATATCCCTCTTTTAAATATAAGTGTGCTGTTAAAGTTGCAGTGTTTCATACAGAATTTACAAATTAAACATTGTAGAACTTTGTTGGTTCCAGTTCTAGTTGAGCAAGATGCATTCTTCGCTATAAATGACATTGTCCTGTCCAGATCTGTACCAAAGAGGTACCATATGAGTATAATGTCCAGTGGAATCTTTTACATAACAGACAGACAATCCATATGTGTTAGTAAATATGCAGTATTTTACCAAATGAAAATGTTTGTGTCAATTTTTGTAGTATTGCTGTGATCCTAGACAGAAGATGAAAGTGGGTCTAAATTTACATGAAGCTCTGGAGCTCATTTAACTACCATCTGGGTGTGGACCAACAAGGAAGGATTATTTAACATGATTTCATCTTTATGGAGCATAAATACCTCCACTATCAATACCAGCTTCTGTCTGGGTCAAAATAAACTTACATAGTCTCAAGATTAATCTTCTGAATGAGTAGATTAAACAATTTGTGAAAGTTATTTGGGTATCCCATTAGCATTTCCTGTATGATCTACATTAAAAAAATAATTGAACATCTTAAACAGAACAATTAACACTGCATCCTGTTTGTAGAGTTTGTAGAGAATTGCCAAATTCTCAACATCAGGACCACACAGACTGCAGGTTGAATCGGTCACAGGTATTCCTGCTAGATTTGGCATATAAAGATGAATTCAACAAAGGATCTTAAGCAAAACTTGATGTGCCACGTAGGTCTTCAGCTTCACACCCATTTAGACAAAGGACAGGCAGGCAGTGGGCCTCTGGTTTGGAAGAATACAGCACAGAATATATTAAGCGATGCTCTGGTTGCCAGATTGCTGTCAAATCCCCCATGCCATGGAAGGAACAGTGTGGTAATGAGGCAAACAACAGCTGCGAAAATGAATTGCCATGGTTTGAATCAGTATAATGTTTTACATCCAAGTATAATACATTTGAGGTGTATTAATTTATAAATAAGGACTGGCACAATTAATAGCAACCTAAAGGATGAAGTGTGTTAAACAGAAGTGTGTTAAGTGTTAACAAGTTAATACTTTTTTAGTAAGAAAAAAACACCCTTTTCTATTTTTCATTCATATTTTTTAACAATTTCTGCCCGGAGACTCTAATAATTCACTGCACCCAAGAGGGATCAGCCACCACGTATCTGGCAACCCGAGGACCAACGGACGGCGGCGGCGGTGCTAGCGTTACAGCTGGGGAGGATTTTTTTTTTTACGTTGCGCTGTTTTAATGCTGAACGTTACGAGCTTCTGCGTTTTGTTTCTGAGGGCGGGACAGTCTCTCCTTTCCGGCATTTTATCCTCAGTCGTGTTGGTCGCATCTTTTGCTCTATTTTTGTCGTTTTCAATGGCGAGACTGCCGTTAGAGCTACAGCCTCTTATTGATTAACCGTACAGGCGGCTAAGTGTTGCTAGCCGCTGATAAACGCTGCTATTAGTGGATTTCGATCCAGGCGACATGCTAGTTTAGGAATATATACATGTTAAAGAGCATATCAGTCATTTTAACAGAGAATAATGAATTAGGATGCTGTTTTGAGTCATTTCTAGGTGCTCTCTAACCTGCCGTCTCCAAAATAAATGTCATGGATTTGTCGTTAAGAGGCTAGTGTTGCCAGGTTTGCTTTGTTGTTGTTTTTGTTTTTCTGCGTTTTGTCCGCGATGTGTGCCAGTTTCAGGAGTGAGGAGATGTGCCTGGCCCAGCTGTTCCTGCAGTCCGGCTCTGCATACGACTGCATCAGTGAGCTGGGCGAGATGGGGCTGGTGGAGTTCAGAGATGTGAGTAACCTGCTGATGTTGATGCTGATGCTGATGTTGATGATGCTTTGTATGCAGGGCTAGGATGTGACGGGATGCAAGTTTTGGGAATACATATTCATAATACAGAAATTAAGTATCTGTATTCAGTCCAAGTCACTGCCTTTTGTAAAGGCGTCATTCAGAATACAGTTACTTTTACATTTTAGAATAATATTTTCAGAATATATACCCATGATAAAAAAAAAATCATCTTTAAAAGAAACACAATCAATGCATGTTAACTATTTTAAAGTCAGCACACAGCATGTAAAGTCTTACTGTAAAAAAACTCAAAATGGCCTCTTTACAAACACTGAAGATCCTAAAGCCTGAGTAGACTGATAAACCACTGTCATGATCAGTTATTAAACTCAGTGTTACTGAGCTCTGCTAAAGCCTGAGTACACTGATAAATCAATATGATGATCGGTTATTAATCTTAGTGTTACTGAGCTCTGTTAAAGTCTGAGTATACTGATAAATTAATGTGATGATCTGTTATTAATGTCAATGTTACTGAGCTCTACTAAAGCTTGAGAAGACTGATAAATCAATGTGATGATCTGTTATTAATGTGAGTGTTAATAAACTCTTGAGGGATAACTGAACCGAGTAGTGAACATGTTCACGAGTGATAAGCTCAGCTTTGGTGTTGTACTGGACTTGTCCAGGCATTCTGTGGCAAGATACATATCATTAACTGAAAATCACACAGTTACTCACTTTATAGTCAAATTTGCAAGATTTTGTTATTGGTATTTAGTGAATTGTTGGCTTAGGTCATGAAAGGGCAGTGGGATTATGTGAGCAGCCAAGTCAAGTCAAAGTTTATTTATATAGCTTTTTTAACATCAGAAATCATCACAAAGCAGCTTCACAGAAAAATCTGTGTCTGAGCCCCCATGAGTGTCGCCAGTGGCAACAGTTGCCAGGAAAAAGTCCCTAAAAGCAAGAGGACGAAACCTTGAGAGGAACCAAGACTCAAAAGAGGAACCCATCCTCTTCTGGTCGACACTGGATAGCCAAACAAGAACACAAGATCAATATGAACAGAGAATAAAGTTTTAAAACTAGTATAAAATATTAAAATACAGTAACGGGGGAAAAGCAGGTGAAGCAATGTCTATGATTAAATAGTTCAAGTCTGTGCAGCAGCAGCATCATCAGAAGAGTCAATGCATGCAGGTGAGGTTTGCACAGCGTTGTACAGCATGAAGCTCCATGGTGGTCAAACTGGTCCAGAGGGTGGGCGAGCAGTGGGCACCCGGTCGGCAGGGAGCAGCAGTGAAGTGAAGAATGCGGTGAGAGCCAAAATAACCCTGAGAATGTTGTTAATTTTGGTATACATTTGAGTCATTGAATTTTTACGTATTAACAGAAGAATTACAACAACAAAACTGCCAACCAGCAACAGTGAGGTACGGTGTGAAATAAATAAATAGAGTTTTTCCCATGTATTTTATCAATATGTATTCCAAATACATTCTGAATGTATTACTTTTTTGTGTATTGTAATGGAATACATTGCTGAATGCATTTCAGACAATTTATTCAGTATTCAGCCAACCCTGTGTGTAGGTGTTGCATCCTAAAGGTAGGCAATATGGCAAAATGTAATATCACAATACTTCAGGAGGTTTTTTGCGATTTACGACAATCGTTTTTTATAGCAAAAATGCAATTCGAAAGGTTGCAATTTTCAAATTGCAAGAGCTTAGGGCTGGGCAGTATTACTATAGGTATCATCATTGTGATGGATTATGTTACATTCCAATACAGTATGCTTTTCTGAACATATTGTGAATCTCATCAGTACTTGTTACTTAGAACACTGACCAACTGCATGTTTCATTGTAAATAAACCAAATTTAGTCCATTTAACTGGATTTAGTGCAACACAGGATGTTAAGTATTGAATAAAACTGTGTAAGAATTGTCACAGTTTTGATAGCATTTTTAAATGTAGAACTACTGCTTCTTTTCACTCTTTTCCGACTGATCAGAAGTCTGAAAAAATAAATTCCATGACATATTGTGCATCATGAAAATTTCCTCAAGTATTGTAAAATTGTATTTTTGTTATATTGCCTGAATACAAGAGCTGCAGTTTTATTGCCTATATTACCAACAGTATCATCTTTACAGTTTTTAAAATGGGAAAAATTTTGCCTAATAACATGGAGCTTGTAAACTGCCTGTAGATGAGTTTGACCACTCAGAAGCAACCAAACGCCCATATGCTTTGACAACAAAACTACAACTAACAGTCCAGTGCGCTACATTCAGTGCTCAAGCCTCAAGCCAGAAAAAGTAAATATGAAACAAAAACTGGATCTCAATTTATAGAAAACAAACATAATTTAGATCGCAGTATCGCATTTGCAGTAGTGTTCATAAAAATCAAATTGTTCAGCCCTAATTCACGATGTGTCATGATATTTATTTTTTCTGACATCTAATAAGTTAGAACAGACGAAGTAGAGCCACATTAAAAAATACTATTAAAAACTGTGAATCTAATTACTGTTCAACATTTCACACTCACACTATGTGCTGCGCTAAATCTAATTAAACAGGACTCTTCTTTTTTTAATCAAACATTTGGGAAGTGACGATATCCACGATATGCTCAGAAAGGCATTGTGACATATTGTGATAACATTTCTCACAAATTAACGATAAATATTGTCATATTGCACGGCTCTACTGCATCCTTCACTTTACTGCTCAGGACTGAGAAGCTGCTTCATACTTGTCTTCTCACTCCTGCCTGGTCCCGGTCCTGATCCTTTTCTTGGTCCTGGTCCTTGTCATTGTGAATCCCTTGCACATTTTACAGTTTGATCTGCCCTTTTACACCCATTCCAACCTTTTAACTCAGGAGGGGCTTTAAATGAACTGATTAATTATGTAAATAGAAAATATAGATACTAAGATGCTAATTTGCATATCAAAAAATGTACTGTTCGATTTTTTTAAACTTTCATGAGCATTCAAATGGTCAAACATTCTGACTTATCCTTAGGGCAGGGTTATTTAAACTTTTTTTCAAAGAGGGCCAGATTGTGCTGTGTCAAAATACCTGAGGGCCGAAATATTATTCAATATTTAAAGTTTTCAGAATATCAGTGTGTAGAATCATTGCCTTTCGTGAGCTACTGTGTTTCTTATCACTGTATAATAGAGGCACAAGGCTTCTTTTATTGTTGAAATATCTGGATCAGTAAGTGCTTTCAACAGATAATCAAATTGTATAAGAGTAACAATAAAACATACTATATTGTTAAATAAAATTTTTAAGACAAACTAAACATAAATCTATACATTTTTGGTTTTGTTTGATAATGTTCTTTATGTATCAAATTAATGTAGCAACCACATTCAAAATTCACTTTATTAAACAAAAAGCAAATTAAACAGCAAAAATAGCCAAGTTTTTGTTCAAACTTGAAGGGTTAATATATACTGAACTGCTGAATTTGCTCTGTTAAGAAGTCGGTGCTGGGAGACTCGGGGAGCTGCAGCTGCTTTAGTTTTTCTCCTGAATATTAACTGTAATGTTCATGCTTTGTTTCACGTCTGTTGATATATTACATATATTACAGTCTTTTGAAATATGAGGCTCAGGCTGCTCGGGCTCTGTGAGAAAGCATTCAAATTTCCATCTCGCCAGAATCGCTGTTCTCAATGTTAATTGATGCTTTACGGCTGTAGTCTTGACCAAATGTCAGTAAATGAAACTGCAGGTCTAGTCAAAGAACAAAGGCTCTTGAACTTCACTACCGTAGTGCGGCGCATCACACTATAACTTTATGGTGCCGATGCCACAACCAGGTGTATCTAATAAAGTGACCAGTAAGTGAGAGTGTACACTAAACAAATTAGTTTGGCTCAGGTACATACAAATTTTCTTATAAAACATTTTAAACAAAATAAATGTCAAAAATCACGGTCCCTCCAGTTTTTAAGCTCTTTAGGAAAAAAGCCTTGTGGGTGTGTCCGTAGCATAAGCCCCACCCCTTCATTTTGATCATTGACTATAGTTCTGTATGATGTTGACATAAAATGCGATGTTCAATAAAGCTGTTCGCTATCACAATGACTATATGAGAAGCGATAATGTATTGTTAAAATAGAGCACCTCTGACTGGATGTGACACAAATACAGACAGTTTTTTGTCTGTATTTCAGTATCTGAAATCTAATTAACCTCTCGTTTAAGCAAAATTACAAAACAACATTTACTGCTGCTTACATTAGAACTGCAAGCACATATTTTGTTTGCTGAAAGGCTGAGAAACAGTCAATCACCTCACCAGGTTTTTAAAAATAAATAAATAGATATGTATTTTTGTATAGACACGCAGGAATGAATAAATGTATATGTATTTGTTTTTGTTTAGTTATTAAATGATTGTTGTGACACTAGCCATTCCTGCCACACACTCTAAAAACACAGTACTGGGTGTGAGAACAATCCTGATGTGTGTTCTTACAGAGTTGTAGTTCAGGATAGAGGAGTGTTTGAGATGTACATGTGTGTGTGTTTTGTTATTGGCCGTTTGCCGAATGGTTACTTGTCCCTCATGTGGGAGAGCAGGGTTTAAGCACAGCACAGCTCTTAATGAGGTGTTTATTGTGGACAATTGCATCGCAATAATGATAAAAAATATGATTTATCATGCAGCCCTAATTAACAGTGGTTTTCATGAAAGTCGAAAGACTGAGAAAGCAGGGGGTTATCAGGGATATTTTTCTAGTGACCCTTTTTCACCTCAGGTACACTCTTAAAAAGGATGGTTCTTCAAGGGTTCTTTAGTAAAGGGAATGGTTATTTTTAGAAACCTGAGTTATATAGAGAACCATTTCATGCATAAATGGTTCTTTGCATGGTGAAGTGGTTCTTCAGATTGATGTTGTGTATGAAAATTGTTCTATATAACACCAGAAAGCGTTCTTCTATTGCTTTCTGATTTTATGCTTCAAAGATGTGATGATGCTTACCTGCTCAAATTTGTTGTTGACAAGTTTATATTTTAAACTCAAAATGTATTTCTGTTTAGCTTTCTTTAATTCCTTATTTGCTCTTTTTTCCTTTTTAGTAGTTTAGTAGTTTAGTAGTAGTATTTTATTGGTCAGCTTTGATTTATTGTTATTATTGTTATGCTATGCAAATGATATGTAAATCACCTTTAATGTGACTGTGCATATTAACTGTTTTTCATCTGTGAGCCACACTATGTGTTGTCTGTCCAGGGCTGATAGATAGTGACCTTTTTGTGTCAGGAGGGTTAATGTGCCATTGAGAACTCATTTAATTGGATCGATTGGTCACTAAAGTGGCACAAATCTGTTTGAAAGCCCACTTTTTTTCTAGCCTGCCCGCAGCACTTTGGGCACATTTATCCCCCATTTTGTAGCTTTTGTGTAGGTCTGTGTGTGTGTGTGTGTGTTTGATGAAACCAATCATGGCAGATAGTGAGCATTTAAGAGAAACCCTAAAATAGAGATTATGAATTAACTGGGCTCACAGTTCAGTCTTTACAACATTCACAACTTAAAAGGGAATTCCAACAGTTTTTCAAATTGCTGCATAATTTTGAAAAACCGATGAGATGTAAATAAAGTCATTTAGAGTTGTTGGATGTGAAATGGTGCATTGTTGAGAGTCAGGCATCAGGCAGTGTGTACAGAAACATTTAGTGTATAACCCTTTGTGAGGGAGCTTTTGGAGGTGGACGTCTGGTTCCTATCACCACCACTGTGATTCTGACTCAGTAAGTTTCTCTATTAGTATGGAGTATTTCACACCAAACCACTCTGAATGACTTTGTTTACTTCTTAACCGTTTACATATGCAAGATTTTTGAAAAATTAGTGTAATTCCCCTCTAGACCAATGTTCCTCTCTACTACTCTTTCTGGCCAAGACAGTGCAAAATTGTCTTCACTGCTCTAACACACCTGTTTCAGCTCACATGTTAGAACAACAGTTGAAAATTTTACCTGTGCACCTTAACCACCTTAACTGAAATGCAGTAAATCAGCCAAGACATATTTGGTGTCTGAAGTCGCTTCTTTAGTTTTACACTGGTGATATGAGGCTGATGTAGCTAACAAGTAATGGAAGCTTATGACTACCAATTAACATGGTGCTAACTGCATACCTGAATTACTGCAGACTTGCCTCAAACCATATGGAGTCTCTAATAGACTTTGTAATGTGGTTTCCGACACTGTATGACACACTGTTGTCTATAAACGTGAGGAAAAGTACCTTAGCATAGTTAAAACAGCACTGACTGACTTGAAACATCAATTTAGTCCATACAGTTGTCCATTTTTATAGATAACAGTCTGATAAACGTGATGTCCCCCTATATGTTTGGAGAAAAGGGGGATGATGTTGTACATTGTTGTTTTTCCACCAAGCTTTTTCTTTAATGATTAAGCTCTAATTTAGTGTACTTGTTTGTTTTGAGCAGGGATACGATACAGAGTGAAGCTCCTGTGCTGTAGACTTTGACGTCTGTGTTTGCAAGTTATTGATTAAAGTGTGAAAGCCTCAGACTGGAGACGTGAGGTGACGGCTGATGTTGTCATTTCAGCTCAACCCCAGTGTCAGCCCTTTCCAGCGGCGCTTCGTCAGCGAGATCAAGAGGTGTGAAGAGATGGAGAGAATTCTGGGTAAGTGCCTCTGAAGCCTCTGACCTAACACACCATCCACTATACTCCTTCTGCTGCTTAGTTTTTAAGTTTTACACACATTTCTCTCTTATTGCTAATTTGCTAATTGCTTATTTAATCTGTTTAAGTCTTAAGTCTAATTACATGAGTGATTCCTACATGCTTTTTAGGGAAACCTGAAGTGGCCCTTATTTATCAAAGTTGCGTAAAAGAAGAGTGAAGATTTCAGGGCCTTTAATGATTTACAAACTATGTCTGATTCATGAAACTTTTGTTTTTGTTGGGATTTGATCAGCATCAGTGCGTGAAATCAAGCACCACCCTATCAGCACCTCATTTACATATCATTAACATACATACATACATACATACATACATACATCATACATCATCTAAACCGCTTATCCTTCTGGGTCGCGGTGGGGTGCTGGAGCCTATCCCAGCTGTCATTGGGCGGAAGGCAGGATACACCCTGAATATACAATATTTCATTATGCTTTGAACTTGCCTTGGTCAAAAACTGTTCGATAATTACCAAATTAGAGCTCATGAAGAGAGGATAAAACACATATATGTGTCAAAACATCAGAAATTCATTTGTTGTAGGTACCAAAGCAGGTCTGCAGAGAAGAGATGATGGTTTATTCTGTGTTTGGTCCATTTAGACATCTTTTGCATTTATATTTCAAATGAACCGCACCACAGTTTGCTTACACAAGAACTGTGACTGATCTCCTCAGGGAGTCTTGGTCTGTTTACTTGGTGCAACAGTGTGTAAATGGCAGCATTTTCAGTTGTTCACCAAGGTTCGGTTTAATTGAACCAAATTAGCTGAGCATGAACACAGCCTTTACCCCGGGAAAACAAGCAAATACTTTATTTACTGTTATTATAATCAATACTAACATTACAAAACCTTCAAAATGATGCAACACAGGAATGCACAGATACCCTTAGTGCTGTTAGATGCTGATGTTTGAAGAAGTGTAAGCATTGCTTTTTGCTCTTATAACCTTATTACCGCTTTAGAAAAAAAAATGTCTAAGGCAGGTCTTCAGAAACAAAAAGACTGACAAGTTTCATCTGCTTATTTTAGATCTGAGCGTAACTGTTATTTTTGCAAGTGGGCATTGTTCTGGATTTAGCTCGTTTGAAGATGAATATGTAAATGAGTCCTGAAATGATCTGTGGATATATTTAACTGCGCTGCTTGCATAAGTACATTTTGTAGAAAAAGCAAACTACAGAATATTTTAGTGGTTGAGTCCTTAAAGGACTGCTCCAGTGGTTTTCAGTCTAATCCCCATCCGAGTCATTGTATGCAGTTACTAAGGACAAGTATTATTATTATTATTATTTTTTACTCACTTTACAAGTTTACAAGTGTCTAAGTTTCTCCTTGCCTCTTTTTGCATGATACTTTTGGGATGAGAGGAACAAAATGGCAGAACAAATAGTCCAGAGAGTAGAGACTGGGTGTGCTGGTTCGAGAGACTCAATTTATCTCGTGACCCTGTCGCCGTGTTGCTTGTTGCTAAATTTCAGCTACAAAACGCTGAGCCTCATAGAAAATGATTAGTCGCTGCCTAATGTGAATGCAGGGTTACACGGTTGTGAAACCCACAGACAACAATTTGACTAAACACGCTTTATCCTGTATTTAGTAAAAGAGCTATTATGAGTGTGTTATGAGTATTGCGTTCTTTTACGTAGTACAGGGGAAATTACTGATACTATTGACCATGGTAATTAACCTTACACTAGAGATGCTGCAGCTGAAGAATAAGTTGAAAACTACTAGAGCATTCCTGCAAATGTCTATCCACTGAAAGGTTATTTAGGTAACCAAACACAGTTGTTCTACGTCTTTGTTCTGAAGAACACTCTTGGCACTTTTTTGTATATGTGTGTGAGAAAGAGAGAGAAAATGGAGAAAGACATTTTATCTGTGTGTGTGTGTCCAGGTTACCTGCTGAGAGAAATCCGGAAGGAGAACATTGCTGTTCCAGAGCCTGAAGTCAGCCCTGTGGCTCCTGCACCCAAACATGTCCTGGAGATCATGGTAAACTGCTGCTACTTTACTCATTGGCAAATGCTGAGTACTAATGCTAGGCCTTCAGTTTGGGCCATAAATGGTAAAAACTTGGTCAAAAATGAGGGGAAAAAAACTCTATGAGCATGCTAATTTTTGCTAGCGCCTCTATGGGATTTTTGTAGTATGTTAGTGCTAAGCTAACAGCAATTCACAAACATTTTTTGGCCGTTCTAGATTAAACAAAAATATGTGAAGCTTGTAAATGACATTCTGTGTTTTAGATCATCATAAATCAAAACATGTTTAGTTGATCCCTCTTTCAATTTCTAATTATGTTAGTAGTTAACCCGACACACAGAACAGCTCCTGAATTCCTAACCAATAGGAGAGCTCTATTAGCTCTTATCTACCCAGATACCACAGAGAATAAAATTCGTAATGATTGGATAGTTTTCCATTGGGTGCATCAAAAAATGTAACTTTTTGTTTTTAGGCTTAAATACAACAAGCGTGGTTATTCTATTAAATAAAAAGGACTTAAAATGTATAATCATGTCTATTTTTATTTCACAGAAATTGTTAGGCCTGGTCTGAAGGCCCAGAAAGCACTGAGGCCTAATTTAACCTAGACTGGAAGAAAGTTTGAATAAATTCTCTGTTGTGCAGTCATGTGGAGTGTGAGGGGTATTGGTCAACAAAGTTCATTAGCCATTAATAACAGTGATTATAGAAAAAAGTTGATGTTGATGAAAGTCACAGAGCCACAGTCATTCTGACACAGACTGTAATACACTACAGGAAGTGTAGGGGGCGATATGGCCACTATTGTTTCATATAAAAAGTGCTTTGTAATGTTCACATGATCCATCTAGTCATTCTGACAGACTGTAATACACTACAGGAAGTCTAGAGGGCGATATGACTTCTATAGGTTCATTTAAAAAGTGCTTTATAATGTTCATATGATCCATCCAGTCATTCTGACAGAATTATAGCATATAGAAATAATTGGTAATTGCAACCCTAATGTGGGGTTTGTTGCTTAGGCAAAGAAGCCTTAGATTGATCTTAGATGTAAGAGCAGTATTGACAGTTCCCATGTAAACGCATGAACATTTCTCTAATTGCCATAATTAAAAGAGTTTGGAGATCATAGAGGTGCTTAAAGCCATGGCAGCTGCAGGGAGATGCTCCTCCATGCTGTTAGGGCTGATAAATGTGTGTATGTTTTGGTTTGATGGAGCTTGCCGTATGTTGTGTGGTTTTGGGTAATTGAGTGTGTAGGAGAGAAAGCCCCAGGGGCTCAGCTGTGTTGGGTAATGGAGCGTAGCACATATGGCCTGGGCTCAGTCACAAAACTGATTGTGTGTGGTAGGTTAAATATGTGTAGCTGTGTTTGGCATACCTCGTAATTTTCATTGACTGACAGTCTTTATTATAGCAAGAGTTTATTTAAGAATTTAATTCTGTTTATGTTATTCGTAGCAGGTCAGTAAATACTGACCGCTGCCCAATTAAAGTGATGGTTTGGCAAGAAAACTAATTTATGTGTTAAGTTTTCCTTACCTAGAGGTGGGTAAGTTAAGTTTTATACTTTCTGTACCTGGATTGCATACCTCTGCACTTACCTCAGATGTAGCTGGTCACCCAAGACGTTTTTAGTCAGAAGTTTGCCTCTGTAGTTTTAGTGCTGGGGCTAAGAGGGTAATGTAGTACAACTCCATTTCAAAAAAGGTTGGGATGCTGTGCAAAATGTAAATAAAAATAAAATGTAATGATGTGCAAAACATTTAAACCCTATAATTAATTGAAAATAGTATAAAGACAAATGTTGAAACTGAGAAATTTTATTGTTTTTTGAAAAATATATGCCCATTTTGAATTTGATGCCAACAACACATTTTCAAAGATTAGCAAAATATTATTCACAAATGATTCAAAATATTGAAGGAAAATTTCTCAGATTTTTCAAATTTCTGAATAATTCAGGCCTTGGGATGTAAATAGAGTCATTCAGAGTGGTTTGATGCAATGTGGTTCATTGTAGAGAAACGTATAGACTCAGATTCCTTTACAGTGGTGGTGATAGGAAGGGGTCGCCATGACTACAACACAAATTACTATCCAAAACCAAAAGTGTACCTACAAGTGTATTCTGAGTTTTATGTGGAATGTTGATGATGGTAAAATAGTGACAAATCTGAGCAAATAAGGTTTTTTTGGGAACTATTTTGTCCCACAACGCTCTACATGTACCTCTCCACCATGAATGGATTTTAAAAATATAGCTATACGTTTTAGGGCAAAATCTTTTCCGAACTATCATAAAACATTGGGCCTCATTCACCAGTCATTCAATTTAATAGTAAAAAAGTAAAAAAAATCAATAAACCATGAATAAATCATTAAACGTTGCAACAGTATAGTGACTTAATAAATGAAAGATCAAATAAAGATAGAATAAATAAAACATAATGAAATAAATAAAAGAATAGAAGATGTATAACAGAATAGAGCTGGGCAATATGGCCAAAAACGTTATCACGATAAACAAAATTCATATCGTTCGATATCGATACATATCGCGATAAATGTCAAATCATGATTTCTTTCACGTTTGAAGGCTGATTTTGCTCCTGGGTGGTTAACTCTGGTTTTAAACTATCACTTATAGTCCGATCATGACAAACACTCGGCAAACAGTGGAACATTTCACTAATCTGTCATGGAAGAGTGGGAGAAAGTTTCTGAGCTGTTTTTATCAGCTTGAAAAGCACAGCTGCAATTTTTGTAATAGTCATGATTTAAGAAAGAAAACAGATTATTTTTAGCTGTCTGGTGACGAGCGCTCGGCTATCCTGTTACAAATGCTAAACAAGTGGCCAACAACAGTGCTAAACTCTTTAGTTTCTCAACAGCGTCAACTCGGTTCGGTAGGTCACTGCTGTCACTCCTACCACATCCATGTCAGAGCATATCACAGTATTCAGACACCAGCTAGCGATGGCTGGATTTCTCTATGCTTTTGTTTAAGGGGTGAACCGCAGTCTATCTGACGTTCGCTGTGTAAAAGCATTATCTGCAGTGTGAATCTCTCGCACCAGACAAACGGAGTCCTCCTTTTAGGTATGTTTAAACTGAAAGCGGTGATTGATGTTGTTTGATCTACCGTATCATCAGTTCACCGTGTTGTGCCGGAGTGCTGCTTCAAGTTAGCCAGCAGCTAAAACAGCTAGGCTGGAAAGATAGCGCTCTCCCGCTCTCCAATGCCTCACAGCTTCCTCAGTTTACTTTCAAACATGAACCCACTTCTTTCTTTCACTTTCCTTGCTCAAGAATGCACTAATACTAAAATATGACGGTTTGGCGCTGTAACACGGTGCTGCAGACGTGATTTAACGCTGCTAAAGCTTGTTACGATGTTAGTAAAGAGGTGAGTTCACTGTAGGACAGTACAGTTACACCACTGACCTCGTCACTCACACTCGGTCACAGGAGAACAGATTCGGAAGTGCGCCCTCTCCTGGCGACAGCAGAGTAGTGTCGCTTTCCTTGCAGTAGAAAACGCCACCAGGGCTTTCGCTAAAACGTGGAAGTGTGAGAATGGTGTATTATATCGAACATTTATCGAACCTGTCTTATCGCTCTGTCGAGGAAAAGTTATATTGCGTTACTTATCGTTATCGTTTTATCGCCCAGCCCTATAACAGAATAAAAAAAAAATGAAAGTGAAACAATAGCTAAAACATAAATAATAAAAGTGGAAAAAAAAAACCTAAAACATACCAAAATCAAGTTGAAATTGAACTAAAATCAAATAAAACAGTGTCAGGCAGAGTGGAGGTGGTAAGAGACTAAAGATATAAAATGTTCATGCAACACCAGCGAGTGAAGCTTTAGAGTTTCCTGTAGTGAATTCCAGCTCACTGCTGCTCTACAGCTAAAAGCAGATTTTACCAGTTCAACAAAAGCTCTCGGCACCTGAAGGCTGATCCAGTCACTGGAACGAGTCTGATAAACTACAATATTTACACTGAGCATTTCTGTGATGTGTGATTGTAAATGGCCAGAAAGCACTTTATAGATAAAAAGAAGCCAATTTGGGATTTGTTCTTAGATAAGAACAGAATCTACACACACCTAGGAGCATAAGGGTGTGAACATGTTTAAGAACATGTCATGAATCTGACGTTCTTATCTGATAGATTTTTTCTTCCCAAGAACTAATTTAAGAAAAAACTTAGGAAGGTACTGGTGAATGGGGCCCAATGTCTCAGACATCAGGCAGTATATTTGTAACCATTTTGTGAAACAACTTTCTGTGAGGGAGCTTTTAGAGGTAACCTTCTGGGGGAACAGTGTAAATTTGTTTTTTTTGCTGAACTGTCGCTGCATTTGTGGATTTGTGTGGATGAATGTCTCTTTGTTGTTCTATTTCCAGGAGCAGCTACAGCGTCTGGAGGTGGAGCTCAGCGAGGTGGCGAAGAACAAAGAGAAACTCCAGCGGAACCTTCTAGAGCTCACCGAGTACACACACATGCTGAGGATCACACACACCTTCATGCACAGCCGCTCCAGGGTGGGTCCTCTGCCTGCTGCTCCACCCACCACATCTATATCGATTTATTGAGTTTCTACAAAGGCGGGTTGTCATTCTGCAGCCTTCAGTGTTTATCCAGCACTAACTCACATCCAGAGCAGACTGTCACTCACACAGACACCCTAAGCAAAGTGGTGAAAAATCACTTAAAATTAATAATTCATTAATAATAGGGTAATTAAAGAATCATGTTCTAGTTTTTGACTTCTGATGATTGCTATGTGGGCGTTTTGCTGTGTTAAAATCATTAGTGAATAACTGATGTTCAACAAAAGGAAGCTAAGATGTTTTATTTCTTTGGAAGATAATACTTAAAACAAGTAAAATGATTTCTCTAAACAAATAGAATGATATGCCAATGGAATAAGACACATCCACTAGATCAAATTACTTTAAAAATGAAAAATGTATAGAAATAGGTTGAATAATCTTGTAATAAGTTTGCAACAATCTTAAAATGAGAGGATAGATGTTAGATATGTATGCTATATTTGTTTTTCCTTGCTAAGATATATTTTTACAGTGCAGCATTATTAAACTAGCAGTACAGATGTATAGCATCTGCTCCCTCAAATGCATAATACTGCTACACAACATACTTAACTTTTTTCTCATAAAGCAGTTGCACGTGTTCCCTGCTATTCAGACAGTATTACTTACTGCAAAATTGACTGCAAATGATTATGAATTCCGGGTTAGGTCAGGTTTAGGCTATAGAGTCTGGCTGCAGACATGCACTCTCAGCCAGATGCACTCTCAGCCCCAGTGACGTCATGTGCAGATGCACTCTCTGCTACAATGGCAGAAGCAGCCCAACAGCACATTAACTTTTGGCTGCTGCTGCTTAGCTATATCATCACTTAATCCATTTTTCGTCCATAATACGGTGAGAGAATTACATTTAATGTACCTCCCTGTTGAAAAAAGTCATAGAACCCGTTAAGTGTCTGTTGGGACCTGATGGTTTTCAGTAGTCAGTGATGGGTTGATATCACAGTGTAAAGGATTCTGAGCGTTTAATCAGGTGTTTTGGGACTGATTCCACATACATTTGATTGTTTCCTAATGGCCTCTAACGGCAACCAAAACCATCAGGTTTTATTCCTAACGGCCAGTTACACGGTACCACGTTGACTGTACGTTGTAATCCTTAATAAGTTCTATTTTGATCAGTATTACAGTTTTTGATAACAAGTTCTAAATGTCTTTAGTGTGGCTTCATGAGTTCAGCGGTAGCATTTTTGTTTTTTCTGCGAATAAACCTGACATTCATGTCTTATCGTCGTGGTAGGTTTTATTTTATTTAAGTTTCCATATTAAATTACGTTATTATCAGTATGGCAACATTAATATACATTCAGTGTAACTCTTGTTGCCCAAAAGTACGTGGTTCGCTGTTTTTCTTCATAAAACCATCAAAAAAACTGTTGTGGCAGAGCGTGCACTGACATAAATAGGCTGGCGGTACATGCCAGGCTGAGAGTGCCTGTCTGCAGCCAGACCCTTCTCGGTTTAGGTCAGGCTTATGTCAGGTTATGCCCCATTCTCCCCTACCATATTGTACAAATAAACGAAAACATGACTGACTTGTTTTTATTGGTGATGTGACAGCACTAATATTGATTCTGAGTATGTGTGTGTGCATGTAGCACGAGGCTTTGGGGCCACAGTATGAGGAGTTTCCCTCTCTGGAGGCGGAGTCTGTGGCAGGCTGCACTGGCATGCAGAGACTCGGAGCCAAACTGGGGTGAGCCTTACACTCATACACATAACAAATAAGATTATGGTCAGAAGGTAGAAGGTGGTTTTATGCTTTAGCAGTGTTTTAACAATGAAAATGTTTTATGATAAGAATTTTCATGTTATGGATTTGCATATTTTTTATTCCAAGTTTCAAGTTTATTAGGAAGAACTACAAGTTGTTTATGTTAAATAATAAACTGTCATTGATTGTGTTTATATGCACATTTATATGCAATCTGATAACTGCAGAAAATCCGATTTTGTCAGTAATTTTTTCACTGTTTTTTTCATGCACTTGGATAATTAGATAATGGGAGCTTGGGGAAATGGGAATTAGAACTTCATTCTGGATATTAATTTAACTAGAACTTCATTCTGGATATTAATTTAACTAGAACTTGATTCTACATGTTAATTTTATTAGAATTTCATTCTGCTTTTTCTACACATTTAATCTACAGCGATCTTAAATATTAATCATCATTAATCTACAGCACTCTTGAACATTTCAGAGTAATTACATGCTCTTGGTGAGCATACTGAAATTTTTATACATTTATCTGGAACAAAGTTGGTTTTCTGTTATTGAAAACAGTGATTCCAAACATTGCATGTGATTTTTTTGAAACTGTCTTTTCTGATTTTTCTGATAACTAATAGCAAATCAAAAGCATATAGGCAGCATTTGTTTATTAATTATGTAATTGATTAATTAGATGATCTTTAAGTTAAAGCTGCAGCGTTCAGGTGCGGTGTCTATCCGTGTGTGTTTTGAGTGTGTAAGTGTTTGTGTTTGTGTGCAGGTTTATTTCGGGGCTGATCCAGCGGGTGAAGATGGAGGCGTTTGAGCGCATGCTGTGGAGAGTGTGTAAAGGATACACTATCCTGAGCTACGCTGAAGTGGACGAGAATCTGGCTGACCTGGACACTGTGAGTGACCGCCTTCACTCCCCGCACACACACACGCACAGAGCTCTCTAAGGAGCAAACACAGATACAGAAATAGATTCCAGCAGTGTACTGAATATCTGAGTGGGAACTGAAGATCACTTTCAAAGCGGTAGTTCTGATGGAACTTTATTAAATGATGCAGTTCCCCTCTTACCCCACTTTACTAAAGGCAGAGACCTCATTTAATTTATTTAATTTTCTTTAGTTACATGTTATTAATTTTTCAGCACTTTCAGTTTTTTAAAGAAATCTGCAGCCACACCTCAAAAGTTCAGTTGGTTTTGTGCTTTGCAGGTGGTTATTAGAAGTCCCATTTTCTCTGTAGATTTTGATCATTTTTTAACTGAAGTTTTGGAAATTTATGTTTTGTCACTTATTTTTCTTTGACTTTATGCCAGTGGAGTCTCTTATGTCTAATCTCCTCAGAAATCTCTCCTTTAGTCATTTTAGATGCTCCTGAGAGAGAAATGTGAGGCAGCTGATGTGAATTTGGGGTGAGTTTAAGAGCAGCTTTTGTTGGAAGGACTCAGCTGGAACAGGTTGGCTTTAAGATTGTAAGAATGAAAGAGTTAAAGTGGCAACAGAGTGCACAAGTAAAGAGTGGACAAATTAAATACTGACAGATTTGATTTACTTAGGAGGCTCTTGTGAATTTTTTTTGTTAAATATATGGTTTCTGAGTTTATTTCTTGCACTGAAAATGAAAAACTTTAACTTAAATCAGCACTGTGTAAGACTTTTTGTTAAATTTGAAAGAATTTGCATTACAGAGTCAGGACAACAAAAAAAGAAATAAAATATGGTGTGTGTGCGCTATCCTATAAGGCCTAAAATAGTAGCTCCCAGTAAAGTAATAGTAAAGTCAGAGATGTTGCGTTAGATTTTGCAGAAGTTTCTTAGACCATGTCAAACGTCTTTACTTATTAACATCACGCGCACAGACTCAAAAAAAGGTCCCACTCGATGTTTAGGTCTCAAATGATCTCAGAATCATCATTATACTGAAGAAGATACAATGACAATAGTAGACATTTGCATCCTCAGAAGACGTGCTCGTCATCAAGAGTTCCCTTTGAATTCTCTTTCAGCGCGCTCGCAATCGTCAGATTCATCCACTGGGGGAAGGGGGCCGAAGCACAACCCACGTTACAAAATGATCTGCATGTTACATGCAATTACATATTTCCACCAGAGGGGTCTCCAAATCCCCAAATCTTACTTAGTGCAGCTTTAAAGGCTGTTAATTAAATAACCCAAAGGTGGTCTCTGACTTTGGCACAGTACTGTAGCTGATCAGCCAAGACATGTTTGGTGTCAGAGGTTTGCTTCTTTAGTTTTGCGCTGGAGCTAAGCTAATATTGCTAACAAGTAATGTAAGCTTATACCCCAACAATTAGCATGGTGCTGTATGCCTATAAAAATGCTCTAAAGTACATCACATAGCTAAAAACAATAGTACCAGCCATTGTTTTTTATGTAACGGTGTGTTATACAGTGTTAAACTATTAGAGATTACTGAACTCAACATAGTGTTTGTGATGATTTAAGCATGCAGTTTACATGATGCTAAGGAGAAAGTAAGGTGAAATTTGTGTGTATTAAATTTTTTTCCCCAAACTGTTGCTTTAAACCCTCACAGAATATAGTATGTAAAACATAAAACCTCATGGCACATAGTCCACTGTTTCTGCTGTAGCTGTCACAGTTGTTATAATTCATTAGAAATCTTTGCAGCTTGTGTCTCAGTTGAAGTTAACGCTTTAATGCTGTCAGGATGCAGTAGTGTTAATATAGGCAGTGTGATATAATTTGTTTTTCTTTAATTTGCTGTTCTTGTTTTGTTTTTCCTGCAGGGTGAAATCAGTAAGAATGTAGTTTTTCTCATCTCTTTCTGGGGTGACCAGATTGGCCAGAAGGTTCAAAAAATCTGTGACTGGTGAGCAGCCAAATAACAGCAGAGCTCAGACCTCGTAATGATACGATTTCTTTATGATTCTTTACAAAGTGCCTCAATGCATCATATTGCACCTCAAATTAATTAGACTGTTTTGGCAAAATTTGGAATTTTTAGAAATACAATGAATACTCAGTGTGACTAGAGAAACTATTTACACAGTAGCAGAATATAGACAGTAAAAAAAAATACACATATGACATGAAAATTGTTTAAAAGGTTTATGAAAAAATTGTAAAAAAAAAAATTATTAATCTTTTTATTTAATTTTCTATTTTATTTGATTAATTTTCTTGCATTTTTATTACTGTTTTTGTCATGTGTGTTCCTATTTTTATTATATTTTTAACTGACTATTTCACTGTTTCAGGGCATAGTATTGTCCCATACCAAAGTTTTAAACCAGAGTTTAAGGGGAGCCTGGTCGCTTTGAATTTCTCCTATTGTAGCAATAACATGACTACAAAACACTAGACGGCACTCACAAGCAAGTCCTCAATGAATGGGGTGAATGGGGCTAAATGGCTAAAAAATAAATAATTAAACATGCTTTCAGCTGTTTATTTGGTAACTTTGGTAACTGTATTCCATTAAAGAGTCAAAGAAACATTTTTTTCTACAGCAGACAAGTTTGGATAGTAGGACGCTAACATCACTGCTAGAGTGCTGGGGATGTGGGAGTGGTTTAGAAATCTCACGCTCAATTTGTTACCACCCTAAAAAGTTAACCCCACACACGTAGCCCAAAATGTCTCATGGTTTTCCCCAGACATTCTTATGAGATCTCTTCTGACCACGCAAGTCTGTCCATTGTGATGCACTGATGCATTTTTGCATTCTTTGACCTTGTGAATATTCAGCTGATGTTCCTATGTTGATCTTTTTCACTGTTCAACATGCCATTCGTAATTGTTTTGGTTTCTTTTTTTCTTTGAATGTGTTTAGTTACCACTGTCATCTGTACCCTCACCCAGAGACTGATGAAGAGCGAGCAGATGTAATGGACAGCCTAAGGACTCGCATCCAGGACCTCAACAATGTACATTTTACATTTTATTAATGATAATTTTCAGGGACGACACTGAACCTTCCAGGAATGCAGTTGAACTCTACTAGTCTATTTAAAACCTCAATTACACAATGACCCGCTGTCACGCTGCTGTTCAATACTTTGGAATCACTAGTCATATTAACATTGTTAGGATTATTTTATTTAACTTCTACAATGTAGATTAAAATACTGTGTGCTAGACTCCTGATACAAGGTGTTTTCCCCACCATCACAAGGTCCACCAAATGGCCAAAGGTATGTGGACACCCCTCTTAATTATTGAGTTCAAGTGTTTCAGCCACATCGATTGGTAACATGTGGATAAAATTAAGCACATAGCCATGCAGTCTCCATAGACAAACACTGGCAGTAGAGTGGGTTGCACTGAAGAACTTTAACAGTGGCACTGTCATAGGATGCCACCACTGCCACAGTCAGTTTGTGAAATTTCTGTCTTGCTAGATCTGCCCCAGCCGGCTGTAAGTGCTATTATTGTGAAATGGGAGCATCTAGGAGAAACAAAGGCTCAGCCACGACACAGTAGAGCACTCAAACTCACAGAGCGGGGCCGCCGAGTGCAGGATGCATAAATATTATCTGTCCTCTGTTGCATCGCTCTATAGAGTTCCAAACTGTCACTGGAAGCAACATCAGCAAAAGAACTGTGCGTCAGGAGCTTCATGAACTGGTTTCTATAGCCGAACTGCTGTCAAGCACACTGCCAGTAGACTCTGGAGCAGTGGAAACATGTTCTCTGGAGTAATGAATCATGTTTTACTTTTTATTTGGCAGTCTGTGTCTGACCTCACAAATGCCCTTTGGACTGAGTGGATACACATTCCCACTGACACAAATCTTTTCCCAGAAGAGTGGAGTCTGTGTGGGGCTAACACCATAATAATGGCCATGATTTTGGACTGGGATGTTCAATAAGCTCCTATAGGTTTGGTGATCGTGTATCCACGTACTTTGGGCCATATAGCATATTTTAAGATAGTTTGTTTAATATTTCATCTTTGCAGGGGAATAAGACGTTATTAAATACTACAATTATTTATGGTAATATCTGGTAAAAAAATCTTTGATCACCACCTTTCAAATTTGAGGCATTTGGTGAATTGAATGGATGGATTGAAGGGATATCTATTTTTAATAACTCCATTTTGGATGTTAATTTTATTAGAAATTGATTCTGGATAAAAACCATATTGGAACTTAATTATTAATGTTCTACAGCTTTATCAGTCATTTTAGGATCATTTACAGATCTGTTCATCGTACTTTTCCAATAATATTGGTTTTATATGATTGAAAACAGTGATTCCAATGTTTTGAATGTGTGTGTATATTACCTGCTGACTTTGTGTGCATTTGTGTGTCAGGTCCTCCACCGTACTGAAGATTACCTGAAGCAGGTTCTTCATAAAGCTTCTGAGTCTGCGCATTCGTGGGTGCTGCAGGTGAAGAAAATGAAGGCCATTTATCACATCCTCAACCTCTGCAGCTTTGACGTCACCAACAAGTGTCTCATAGCAGAGGTGTGGTGTCCCGTCAACGACCTGACCAATCTGCGGAGGGCGCTAGAGGAGGGTTCGGTGAGTGGACACATTCAAAACGCATCTTAAATTTTTTATTTTACAGCTAAAAGGCCACAGCACCGCTAAATATAGCAGTATCTCCGCTCTAGCACACCTGATTTGACTAATTATCATTTTGGATAAGATGTGAAAACATTGAACTGTAGTGATTTCACCATGCAGAGATTTTAAACCCTGTTCAGATCTGTTTTTTACCGCCTTTGTAATTAAAGCCATGCTACAGCAAAACATAATGTGTCCTCCTTATTTAATTCATTAATTTTTTTCCTTACCTCAAGTGAAGTCTGTATACACCTGTAAAAATGCGCAGTGCAGATGTATTTCAGCCTTGAAGACTACAGATTTATTGGCTGTGACATACCTTTGTTCATGCTTATGTATTACAGTGTGTCATACAATGTTGGAAATCACATAAGCAAGTCTATTAGAAATACTGGACAACTGCAGTTAGCACTATGCTAATAGGTGGGGTATGAGTTCCATTACTTGTAATATCCAAAAGTATCTAGGCAGTCCTTCTACTGAGTGAATTCAGCTACTTTATGGTGTATTTATTGCTTGTTTAATATTTATAGAAAAACACTGACCAATAGAATGAGATGCTTTGGATTAGCCTCACATGAGACATCATGCAAAATGCCAAGCATCAGGTAGAGGGGTATAAAGCCGCCCAGCATTGGGCTGTGGAGCATTGGAACTGCATTTTCTCATGTGATGGAGCTCCATCCAATACCTTTGGGATGAGTTGAAGTGAGCCAGAACTAGTTATCCAAGCTGACCTCACTTTTGTTCTTGTGGCTGAATGCAGTCAGATCTTCACAGCAACATCTAGCGTAACACCTTCTCAGAAGATTAGAAAATGTAAAGACAGCAACTCCCTATTTATACCCTTATGGACCTATGGACAGCGTACCTTAGCCTCATAGCTCTAAAACTAAAGACGCAAACCCCAGACACTTAGCATGTCTGAGGAAAGATTGTGTAAATTAGTTTTTTCCCCACCCAAAGATTGTTTCAAATTCTTGTTTTGGACTTGCAGTTTAATTTAACTTCTGTATCTTGATAGAGAAAAGGAGACGCCACAGTTCCTTCCTTTGTGAACCGTATCCCAAGTAAAGACACGCCACCCACTCTCCTGAGGAGCAACAAGTTCACTTCTGGGTTCCAGAGCATTGTGGAAGCGTACGGAGTCGGGGACTACAGGGAGGCCAGCCCAGGTCAGTGCTGAGGCCTGCAGGAGCTAACGCTAACTACCTGCCTATATTCCTTTTCATGCGCTGTATATCTCAACTGCCTCACTGGCTAGATCAGTGATTCTCAGCTTTAGACTTAGGGACCCAGTACCCTGCATTGTTTCTAGTATTGCCTGCAGCAGCACACCTGATCCAGCTCTGCTGAGTCATTATGTAGCCCTTTCTCAGTACGGGTGTGCATAGGTTGACTGCAAATATACTGAAATTGGTTTTTTGGCCCTTTGTTACATTGCACAGAAATTAAGAAAATACACAAGTCAGCAGTTCAGTGAAAGTTTTAACAGGGCAGTAAAGAACATCAGCTTTGATCAGATTTTAAGTGAATACAGTTGTTAAAGATGCGTTGTTAAGGACACATTGCTAAGGATGTGATTGAGAAGGCAGCGGAAAAACAAAAGAAACGTGTTGGAGTTTCGTAACTGTTTTATTGGTGAATTGTATTGTCTTGCACTGCACTGCAAATAATCATATCTCAATGAGTGAGATCATCTTAAATCTAGTCTTAATTTTGCTTATTAAATTATATCATTTTAATATGGCTGTAGGAATATTGCTGTATATTTTATGCTTGTTTTAAAGTACTTTTATTAAGTGAAATTTTCTCGCTATAATGGCAAATAATTTTGCTTGTTTCAAGCATATTTCTTAATATTATCTGCCAATATAGAGAGATCATTTCACTGAATAAATGTGCTTAAAATAAGGAAAAAAAGGCTGGCCATAAGTCGGATAATCTTACTATACTCCTAAAACCGTCTTAAAATTAGAATTATTAGATATGTAGGCTAGAATTAAGATCATTTTGCTTGCTCAGATATCAATTTTTGCAGTGTGTCTGATTTTGAAGAATATAAAACACAGGAAATCTTATACAGTTTGTGAAATTGCTTTAAATGGTGGACATGTAAGTGTAAATATATATCTATAATATTCACCCACAGCTCCATATACCATCATCACTTTTCCCTTCCTGTTTGCGGTGATGTTTGGTGACCTTGGACACGGCGTGGTCATGACACTCTTCGCCCTGTGGATGGTGCTGACCGAGAAAAGCCACAAACGAAAACACTCAGGAAATGAGGTCAGGTCATAAGCAGGAAACTAAATTTAGCTTCCCTTGGTGCTGGACAGTATATTATCTACACAATTATACAACAGTTAGTTCCGGCCATGCAAGCTGATAGGTTGAGAAGCGTAACCGTGCTGTTATTTCGCAGGTTTTTCCACAAACACTGTATCACTCTGCTGAGATGCCGTTGCTAAGGCAACGATTTTGACAGCTGTAGGAGACGCGCAAGCCATTTGAACGTTTTTACTTCTTACTTTGCACAAACAGAAAATGGATACTTTTAAGATCACATTTGACCGACAGCCGATTTGGTCAGACTCTGAAGATGAGATGACACTAAATTCCCAAACTGTCAGTTGGTCTATGTAAAGAGCTGGAGAACGAACTGCCGGCTGTGCAGCGAGTGAGCGGAGCTCATTACTCTGGCGTAGCAGCAAGCTGCTTGATGTTATTTTGCGATAACACACTCCCTCTCTTGTTCTGTTGCTTAAGTATATTGCAGTATTGAAACACTGTGATATTAATTTAAATATATTTGATAGGTACTGAGCCTTATATTCATGATATCAGTTCTACAAAATGGTGATATTCCTGTTTACCGGTGGGTTGTTTTTTGGTTTTGTAATTTTATTTTATGCATTTTACTTGTGGTTTCTAACTTAGGTCGTTAAGCTGGTGCTTCAAATTTTTCATAGTAAATCTGCAAACACATTATTCTGTCTGTTAACATTTATAATACTGTGTAAGGTTCCCTTGTAGGGCCCATATCATGCAAAAACTAAATTTTCTCGCTTTTTTGAAGTAAAAGAGTTTGATGAAGTTTGTAAATATTGCTTAAAATGTAGCATTCATTCCCACATACATACAGTCTTTATATATAATGAAAAAACAGCTCATTTTGAATTTATTGTTTTTGTAGTGACACGAAAAAACAGTGCTTTACATATATCCACCTATTCAGCCTATGGCAGTTATACCCCCCCAACTAAAGTTAGAAGGAGTGTTTCAGGTTGGACTGCCTTTTGAATGAACCCCACCAATCAGAACTTATTCACAGGGCTTATTTACATATATCAGTCTTAAAGGCACAGTAACAAAAACAGCCTGTTGAATTCTACAGAACAAAGCAAGGTTGGAAATAGTTATATAAAAATGAAAGATGGTTCTTTTTGGTATATAAACCCACATAAACATTGCAAGTGGACCTCATGGGAAATGAGGATGTAGGATATGTAGGATATTTAGGATATAGGCCCTTTAAGGTAATTTTAACAAAACTGTGCCATCAAAACAAGCTATGTTAGGTTTGACGTTCTTTTAGTGTAGAGGAAACAAAGGTTTATCAACTTTATTAAAGCAAACTTAAAGATCATCTGAGATATTTATGGAAAATATTGTAAAATTGTATTTTGTCAGTACCCAATTTCCCTGATAGAAAAACTGCTATGAATATGCTAGAGCCATGGTCATACTGACTCTGTAGTGACTGATTTCTCTCTGGGTTCAGATATGGGGCACGTTTTTTGAGGGGCGATATATCATCCTGATGATGGGCCTCTTCTCCATCTACACCGGACTCATCTACAACGACTGTTTTTCCAAATCCCTCAACATCTTCGGGTCTAGCTGGAACATCAAAGCCATGTTCAGAGAGCAGCAGTGGACGTAAGAGGCGCACCTGCACACACAGGATCATTGGCCTGGCCGGTTTGATCAGACTTAAGTGAACCATGGTGCGATTGCGCTGTTGGTGCAGTTCTTTTGTAAGCTGCCATTCAAACCCTGGAGCACACCAAATCAGACCAAGATCCCTGGAAGAGGTCGGTCTCAGTCCACTTACAAACAAACTGGAGCAGTTTGTTTGAAGTAATAACGGATTGTGAATAAAACAGATCGAGCCGTCGTCTTGTTTCTGCAGACTTCACTTCATGCAGTGACGACTTTCTGGTGCTGTTTTGACACAAAAATGTTTATTTTATCATCTGGTTTTCTAAAAAAAGTCTTAAGATTCTAGATCCAGAATAACTTAGAGCAAAACAAAAATCCATAGAACAAATATACAAGGAACAGTTTTAAGATTTATCTTAGAAGATCCAGAGTTTCTAAAACAAAGCAAAATAATTCATAAAACACATCTAAAAAGAAAAGTCTTAAGATTCTTCTTAACAGATCCAGAATTACTTAAAACAAAAATGAATTTATATCTTTTTATCTGTCAAGATTCTTTTTAAAACGATCCAGAATTTCTTAGAAACTCAGGAAGCTCCTTCCATATTTATTTTAATATTTATTGTAAGATTATGAAATTGTTGTAAGAATATTGTAAGATTGAAGTAATTTCTAGACAGTTTTTCACTTGTTTTAAGAACTTTTGTCTAATTAAAGTATCTTATTCCACTGGCAGATAATTTTACTTGTTTCAAGCATTATTTCTTAAAACAAGCAACATTTTCTACATGATTTCTCAAAACGATTCAAATGATCTGCCAATGGAATAAAACACTACATACATCTACTTTCATAAAACAAGCAAAGATGTACAGAAGCAGGTAGAATAATCTTATAATACCCTTAGAACAAATGTTATAATGAGAGTATTAGATTAGATTATATTGACTAGATTATATATTAGTAGAGTAGATATATTGACCGGACAATAAGTGTGTTTTTGTAGAAACACTATATATTATTAGAATAAATGTAAATAAACATTAATGCAGTAAATGACATCCAGTTTTTTCCAAAAAGCAGTTGATATCTTTTGAGCTAGTTATGCGAATGCAGGTTTGATTCCAGATTTCTCCTCCTAGCCATCACATGTATACTGATTAACTGGATAAAACTGGGCTTCCTCGAGAGGTTTCGGGAATAATTAACAAACACAATGACAGACATAAAATCAATATTTTTTGTATTAATAATTTGTATTCATATTAATATTGGTATTTTTGAGCAATTAAACACTTACTGACCAGATAAACAGCTTTTTAAATATAAATTTTCTCAAATGCTTAAAACGATTGCACAGTACCATATATAAAATCTGTGAGCTCAGTTAGGCGAGAGTACAGCATGGCTCAGAAGCATTGCCTAATAAATGTCATAAAATCTGCCTGATCAATATGACATCTGTTTGTAATCTTTTTATTTAGTGTCAAAGAGAACCAGAACTAAAACTTCCCTGATTAATTTCTGTATTACTGCATTGAGATAAACTACAGATATCAACACACATTAAAAAACTGAATTTAATTTATATAATTAGACATATAGTATATAATATATATTGTAATTAATAGAATTATAAATGTATTAGTTTAAATCTCCAAAGTGATAACTCTGTAGCAGAAATATGTTTATACAACAAAATCTTTGGTCATTTGGGGTCATTTCTATTGATCCATTCATCATGAATTGTACACACAATAATCTCACCTACTGATTAAGCCTGTTTGCCTTTTGTTTCCACCTTATGTAGAAATGAAACTTTACAAACAAATGCTCTCCTCACCCTCGATCCCAACGTCTCTGGAGTTTTTACCGGACCGTATCCACTGGGCATCGATCCAGTATGTGGCACACAGACACAACCTTTAAAGTTTTTTAAAGCACATTTCATAGCACCACGCAAAAAAATATGAAAGAGATTAAAAGGGTGACTCAGAAATCTGATTCAAAATGACCTAATTTACTCTGCGTTTGTAGATTTGGAACATGGCGGTGAACCGGCTGGCCTTCCTGAACTCCTACAAGATGAAGATGTCTGTGATCATCGGAGTCGTGCACATGAGCTTCGGCGTGGTGCTCAGCGTCTTTAACCACCTGTGAATAAACATATTCTTTTTTTATGTTTTTTCTCTTTTCCTGCCTCACCTGATATACACATGATCAGAAGTACCACCAATGTTATTGTAGTCGTTATATTTTGTCACTGTGCTTTATTACTATTTATTACTATTCTTATTACTTTAGTACTATTGTTCGTTGTTAATGTGTCGTTCGTAACTGTAATTAATACCTTAGTTACCGTGACAAAATGAAGGATTTAGATATTCTTCATCTTCTAGATGATGTATGTTCATATTTTCAGGTAAAGTGGTGCAATGTTTTTTTTTTTTTTAAATATATAGTATGTTTATGTCACGTCTTCTTCTGCAAGTTTATTGGCTGGTTGCAAAGCAGAAATCTGATTGCTGCTTGACTCATGTAAACTTGGAGTTTCCCCCTTATCTGATTACCTTATGCGTTGATTGGATTACTGACAAAATCTGATTTTCTGCAGTTACCAGATTATTAAGTGCATGTCTACAAATAAGTTCAATTATCTAAAAATAATATTCTTACAACAATATCATTATGAGAAATATTATGTATGTGGACTAGTTTTAAGATATTTTCACATGCTAAAATATCTTGTTTTGCAGTGTAGGCATACAGTTAGCACCTTGCTAATTTGTAGGGTATCAGCAAAAGTGTGTAGAACAGCCTAAAGTCATATTCCAGTGAATGTATTATTACTTCAGCAAAATAATGGCCGCACAAAATTAAAAGTACATTTCCCAAAGCATCTCTCATCATAGGAACTGAAGTCTGTTAGACTCTATTTTTCTCTTTCTTGATCATTTTCGTTTAAAATTAAATGCTAAACCTCTAAAGTGAGAGGAGTGATCAACAGTGAAGCAGAACAGGAGCTGAACCGGCACCACAGAATGAAGTCAAACCCAAAAAAAAGATTTAGGAACTAAATGTTAATGACTAAAATGAAACTGAGGAAAAAGTAGATTACTTTCCTCACTAATATACTTGAGTGGGACCAACAATATCATAAAAAAGTATTTGTTAACAAAATTTTACTTGTACATTTTTTCATGTAACTGAGAAAATGTAAGTAGTTACATAAGCTTCTATGACGTTAGCTTTATTAGCTTTGTAGATTCAGTGCTAAAACTAAAGGAGCAAACTTCAGACACCATCATGTCCTGACTGATTGAACATATTTGGGTTTAATCAGGTCTGTTTTGTGCTCATGCAAAGCTCTGGTTTCCTGGTCTTTTCAGGCATTTCAGGCAGAAGTTTAAGCTGTACCTGCTGTTTGTGCCAGAGCTGCTCTTCTTGCTCTGTCTCTTCGGCTACCTGGTGTTCATGATCTTCTATAAATGGCTGGCTTTCTCAGCGCGGGAGTCGAGGACGGCCCCTAATATTCTCATCCACTTCATCAACATGTTCCTCATGCAGGGCAACGGCACAACGCCTCTTTATCCTGGACAGGTGAGCCTGTATACGTGTAAGTGTGGTAATGCTGCGCAGTATATCAGTGTTAATCTTTATAATGATATTGGTGTTTGTGATATTAATATCACAGATGGCAGCTATATGCACATGTGCCCTCTAACCTCTAATCAGATTTTTGACACTCCATGATGATCCAAAAACTTAATTCATTTTTAATCAATATAATGTAAGCCAATCTTTAACCATGTCATATTATATGTATTGCCCAGCATACTGTAATTACAGTGTGTGGCTATATAATTGTATTATGAAATTTTACCCACAGCCCTAATTAGTACAGTACTGTGCAAAAATCAGAGACAACCGTTCATTTAATTTCCAGTCAAAACAGTCATTATGTACAAGTTATTTGATATTTATATTATTATTCATTGTTATTTTCAATGTCAGGGAAAAAAACAGAAAAATATATTGAACAGAAAATTAGACAAAAACTTTAACAACTAAGTTTACCTTGTTACAGCTTCTATTCATTTTGAGAGAATAGCTTTCAGTTTTTTCAAAGAAATGGGATTATTTTTCCACATCACAGGTTCTGTCTTACAAGTTGGTTTTGCATTTACCCTCATACTCCCAAACAAATTTAGTGATATCGAGGTCTGGACTCTAGGGTGGTCAGTCCATTGTTCAGCTTCTTTGTTTGGTGTGTCTGTCTCCTTTTCTCAGTAAATCTTCTTGACAGCTACACATCCTTTCAGACCCATAGCGCTGAGTTGTCTTCTCACAGTGGAACGATGGACAGAAACGCCTATGGAGTTTTTCAGATCTGAAGCAGCTTGATTTTCTCCTCTCTCTCAAAGATGAAACCTTTAAATGCTGTTTATCTGATGGGGACAGTTTTGGTGTCTACTACGTCCTCCAGGTGGTTGTTCGGAGTCCCATTTTCTCTGTAGCTTTTAGTGATGGCTGTTTTCATTTGAAGTTAAATGAATAAAAGGTGGTCTCGTACTTTTGCACAGTGCTGTATAGCTGGTTTCACTGCATGTTTGTATGTAACAGATGGGTCTGCAGGTGTTCCTGGTGGCCGTCGCTCTGCTGTGTGTTCCCGTGCTGTTGCTTGGGAAACCGCTTTACCTCTACTGGCTCCATCATGGCAGCAAGCGCCTGGGAGTCCACAGGGTGTGTGTACGTGCGTGTTGAATATTATGGAATGCTACACATAGGGCCATTTTCCCAGAGAGAGATTAACCTTGTCGTGGAGTGTATTTACCTTTCAGTGGAAAATCTCCATTCAAAATCCTGTGTGGTCCAGGCCTAGGCTAAATCCCTTTCTGGGAAACTGGCCTATAGAATTTAGTGAATGAACTAGAGTATGTGCATATTCGTCTTTACTATCGAAAATATGAGCATGGCTTACAGCTCAAATTTATTTAGATTATAAAGACAAGGAGATAATTCTTAATAATAATATTGCCCTCTGTTTATATAGTATCTTCCTCGCACTCACTTGATATTATCTAGATTCTAAGGCAGCTAATGGTGACCAGTTAGTGTTATCTCATTGCAAAATCCTACCTGTACCCTTGCTAGCTTTCCTTTCAGCAGTCTTAGCATTACAGAGGCTTGTTGTTTACGTTTCTGAACGCAGGGCTATGAGCGAGTTCGGCGTCTGAGTGAGGACGATCTGTCTCCATCTATCGTCCATGATGAAGAGGAAGGCCTGGATGATCAGCCTGGACGGGAAAGCAGCCCCAAAGAGGTCAGACTCAAACACCCTAACGTTACAGATTACCCCGAACTAGAGCTGGGCGATATGGCCAAAAATGTTATCACGATAAACAAAATTCATATCGTTCGATATCGATACATACTGCGATAAATGTCTAATCATTATTTATTTCAAGTTTGAAGGCTGATTTTTGCTCCTGGGTGGTTAATTGTGGTTTTAAACTATCCTTTTTGGTCGGAACACAACAAACACTCACCAAACAGTGGAACATTTCACAAATCTGTCATGGGAGAGTGGGAGAAAGTGTCTGGTGAGCTGTTTTTACCCGCTGGAAAAGCATGGCTATTTTGTAATAGTCATAATTTAAGAAAGAAAACAGATTATTTTCAGCTGTCTGGTGATGAGCGCTCGGCTACTCCGTTACAAATGACATCATAATATTCAGACACCAGCTAGCGACGACTGGATTTCTCTATAATATCTTAGTAGTTTAAGTGGTGAACCGCAAAATATCTAACATCAAACAAACAGAGTCCTCTTTTTAGGTACGTTTAAACGGAAAGTGGTGCTTTTGTGTCTTGTTTGATCTACAGTATCATCAATTCGCCGTGTTGTGTGAGTGACGGAGCGCTGCTTCAAGTTAGCCAGCTGCTAAAAACAGCTGGCCTGGAAAGCTAGCGCTCTCCCGCTCTCCAGTGCCTCACAGCTTCCTCAGTTTACTTTCGTTTAAATCAGGGCTGTAACTCACATGAATGCACTTCTTTCTTTCACTTTCGTTGCTTGGGAATGCACTAATACTAAAATATGACTGTCCGAGCGCTGTAACAGCGCTGTAGTTGTGAGGATTGTGATTGTGATTTAACGCTGCTAAAGCTGGTTAGGATGTACAGAAAGAGGTGAGTTTGCTGTAGGACAGTATAGTTACACCACTGACCTCGTCGGTCACAGGAGAACAGATCGCCGGTCGCTCCACTCAAACAGGGAATGTATAACTCCGCGTTTCAGCTGTTGCTAAAGACTCATCTTCCTCGTGGCCCCCTCCCTCTCTAATCATATAGAAAAACTCAGAAGTGCGCCCTCTCCTGGCGACAGCTGAGTAGTGTCGCTTTCCTTGCAGTAGAAAACGCCACCAAGGCTTTCGCTGAACATGAAAGTGTGAGAATGGTGTATTATATCGAACATTTATCGAACATGTCGTATTGCTCTATCGAGGAAAAGTTATATCACGATAATTATCGTTACCGTTTTAGCGCCCAGCCCTACCCCGAACTGTCGCAAACTTATCTCTTAAAAGGAAGCAAACATTGTGATGAAACATTTTCCCTATTACCTCAAATGTAGTGGATCAGCCAAGACATGTTTGGTGTCTGAATTTTATTTCTGGAGTTATGAGTCTGATGTAGCTAACAAATAATGGCAGCTTATTGCCCACTACTGGTTTAGTAAGATTAGATTCTACTTTAAGCCAGGCATACAGTGTGCGATTTTAGAAATCTTCTTCTTTGGTGACAGCTCACACTGTACATTTGAATCGCCCATCATGTATGGCCAAAGCCTGCGATTTATATGCTCACACTATACGAAAAAACACTTGGTCCAACTGACATGACGCGACATGGGTGCTCACACTGCACGTGAAACACAGCCCCTGCAGACAGCTCTGTGTACAATAAAGTTTCTTTCAAAACAACATGCTGCACCTCCGATGTCCTAATCAAAACACTGGCTGTATCTCAAATGGCCCCCTGCTCCCTACATAATGCTGAAGGATGAAGTTCGATCCAAGCGTTCTCATTAAGGTCACATGGCCACAAATTGGATGAGGCTGTGTCCACACAGCTCTGAAATAAGCAGATCTGTGTCATATTAGGGTAAAAATCGTATTTGTGCCACTTCAGCCTGTTAATGTAAGCATAGCTTAATATTTTTAGCTATTTTTTCTCCCCAATTTAGTCGTGCCTGATTCAAACCATCTATGTAGGTCTCCCACATCACACAGTGCTATCTAGCTGGGAGGGTGAAGGCTAGCACATGCTTCCTCCATGATAAGTGAAGCTCCATCACATTTTACTTTCAGATTACTAAGCTTCCATTATTGGTTAACCGCATTAACCTCATAGCTCCAATCCACTGGAAAAAGTGGTATCTTGGCAAGTGAAATTTTATTATCTTGTTGATATATCTAATATTTCTCATGTTAAGTTTATTATAACCTTATTCAACTTATTTGCAGATATCTATTGCTTGTTTTGAATCATTTTATCAAGCAAATTTTATTTCACTATATTGGTAGATAATTTTGTTTGTTTCAAGCATATCTCTTAAATCAAGCAAAATTATCTGCCACAATAGTGAGATGATTTTACTTCATGAAATTGCTTAAAATGAGTAAAAATGTCTGTTAAGTTTCATAATCTTATAATAAGCCTACAGCAATGTCAATATCATAAATGTTATATATATTGACTAGATTTAAGAAAATTTCACTTGCCAAGATACCATTTTTGCAGTGTGTAAAACTAAAGAACTTCAGACACAAACGTGTCTCGTGAGCGGAGATTGTGAAAACTATTCAATATTTAAGAAAATATTTGTAGAGACCAAAAATTGAGATACTTCTTATAGTAAAACTTTTTTAGACTGAATACTAATAAAGGAAAAGCATGTGTTTGTGACTATACCTGTTTTGTGTGTTCTTTTTCTTGTAGTTTGATTTTGGAGATGTTTTCCTCCATCAGGCTATTCACACCATAGAATACTGCCTGGGCTGCATCTCCAACACTGCATCGTACCTGCGCCTGTGGGCCCTCAGTCTGGCTCACGCTCGTCAGTATATGCACACACACACATATACAGTCATATGCATGTTTGAACACCCACTGTCACATACCATGGTTTTGGAATAATAATAAAATTAGAAAATAATAAGAAAATAGGTTTAGTGCAGAATTTCTATTTATTTATTTACCACATGGAAAAAAAATATAAAATGTGCCATAATTTTTGCACAGGCTACATTTGTATGTTTTTACATTCAGCAAATAAACAGTAATTGTGCATAAAATGTGCAGAAGTGTGTTCTCTGTAGAGGAGGTTGCCACATAGACAATTATAAAACATGGAATTTGACCAGAGGTGCCCAAACTTTAAACAGCTGTTTATCTCAGAGCATCCCATTTAATTTAAAACCTTCTTTTTTAATGAAATAGGTATTAAGTCATATCATGTATGGATTTTTGTCTGTCTGTTGTTGAAAATGGTATTATTTTTTTTCTCTTTGTTAAGGTCTTTAAAAGGTATTAAAAGGCATTAAGTTTGATTGTACAAATTGTGCAGGTTTCATAAGCTGTGAAAGTGAGATATTTGTTGTGGTTTTAAGGCTTGTCTGTGCTGTCTTTGTGAATCAGAGCTGTCAGAGGTGCTGTGGACGATGGTCCTGCGTGTGGCTCTGCGGATCAGCTCCAGGTTGGGGGTGCTGGTTCTTGCCCCTGTTTTCAGCCTCTTTGCCGTCCTCACCGTGTCCATCCTACTGATCATGGAGGGACTCTCTGCCTTCCTACATGCCCTGCGCCTGCACTGGTCAGCACACGCACTCACAAATAGACATTACTGCAGAAGTCTTAAGCTGGGCCTACACTACACGATTTTTAGCTCGATTTTATCCTTGATTTGCCCCTTCTGACAAATTGTCACAGTCTGAAGTGATTTTTCAGGTTGGGAGCTTGATCGGGACTGATTGACGGTGCAGATATTCTGGTAGTGTGAGAGGGGAAATGAGTCATTCTTCAGCCCTCCAATTGAGCTCAGGAGTGATTTGAGACCTTTCGATATTTTGAAAGATGTTTGATTTTTATGACTCAAAACATTCATGATGCCTGTAGTCAGAGATGATCAGTGATGTACTCAATGGGTGATTCAGGAAACAGCCAGTGAAAGAGCAAGAGGAATGGAAAAAAAAGACGGAAGAGCATGCTGCCTGTACAGGGTCCGCAGAAATATTCTCTTACTGTGATGCCCGCATTTCTCAACCCAAAATTCATTCTCAGTTTGCGTTTTCACTGCACATAAAAATACAATCAGGTCTGGTCCAGTTTAGCTTTGTTTGTGTATCATGATAACGGGGGGACTTTGGGATTTTAAGATCTTTTTCGTATCCAAAACTTGGAAAGTGTGTTATACTTGCTCTAAGCAAGTATAAAGAAAGGTTTGTGATGCTCTCCATTTTAGAGATCTGTTAGGATTGTAAAAGTTGTGTCGTGTACGCCCAGCTTTAGTCCATCTGAAAAAAAATATGTAAAGCTATTTATGTGGGCAGTAAATGTTTTGAAAACTACTAACATTATAATAAATCGTTACTGTCAGACTAAACCCTCATATCTCCAAACCTGTAACTTCACAGGAGAAAGAAAAAACATTCTTAATTTTCTATATAAGTTAATGTAAAGAGAGAGTTTTGGATCATTTCTATTCGTCCATTCATCATGAAATTCTCTCATAACATAAAGGACAACTTGTATTATATCAGATTGATTCCAAACCAGTTGCTAAGTAACAACTCACTTCACACTGCAGCTGAGTGTTACTAAGACTTTTTCACATCTAGTTTGTTGTGTTGGTTTCACACTGCAACAGCAAAAGAGCACCAAATTATACACAAGGGTGTTTATTGGTTTGAAATTTGCAGAGGTACAAGCGCATTACATAAAGATACTTAACATGCATATGTATCACAAGTAAAGGAATAAAGATAAACCATATGTGAGATATATATTTATATAATATTTATTTTCACTGATTTTTATTACAAAGTACCATCAGTAGCCCACTGTGGACCACTGTCTCCTTCGTAGTATAGGTCCGAGGACCACCAGTGGGAATGTTCTGTTGCTTAATTATACAACAGTTCTGTTTGTTGACAAATTCTGAATCTGCCATTCAAATTCTGGACCTGCGGTGGCCCATAAACAAGCTAAACAAATAAACAAACTGGAATAAGCCAGAAACAAGCAGAACACAGTTCAGCAAACAAGATGGGCTATGAAACTGGAACAAAACCACATTCAGCTTCATCTGGCACATACTAAAAAGCTGAGTCTGAAACTGAGACAGTTTGATGACTCTATCTGTAACAGTACAGTAAAGTTGTTGGATATTCAACTTTCCTTGATTTCTCAAGCAATAAGCATACAGAAATGATCAGAACTACATTTTCTGACTCCTGAGAAGACAGGTTTGGTTCCTGACTTCTCTCTGCTTTCCAGCTGTCGCAATAATTGGTTCAGTTCTATCAGCAGCATCACCGGATTTAATTTAATGAAAGATTGATTGGATAAACTAAGTGTTGGATGGCACCTGTAAACTTCCTCGAGAAGAGATTTGGAAATGGTTAAGCATATTCATACTTCACATCACAGCAGGCTATTTATTTTAAGTAATAAATGCTTACTATCCAGATAAATGGCGTTACATATTATTTTCTCAGGTGGCCTAAGACTTTTGCACAGTACTGTACATACAGAGCTCAAAAGTAGTCTTGGGACACCTCTATCATCATCATTAGTTTTTCACAACTATTCCATTCATTAATGTATTATGAAAATCATGCTTTACCATATTTAAAAGTGCATAATTTCAGCCATATCATAACTTACAAATGAATACTTTGGCTCCAACTGCACAATAGGTAGTATTCACAAATCCTGGAAGAAGATTCCGACAGCCATACTGCTGCCATTCCGTCAGTGTAATGTGTTTGACTATTCAGTGTTGCTAAACTTTTAATTCTTCCAAATCAAGATATCAAGAAAAAGTTCTGTTAGATCAAAGGTGTTTATCCATACCAAGTTGATAAGTCCTCTCTGAGTCCTGAATATGCATTATTGTCTGCAGTAACATATCCAGACATCTATAATTACACTGCATCAGCTTATCGCTGCTGACAGAGCAAAACCTTATATTTCCAAAATGATAACTTTACAGAAGAAGGAAAAAACGAACTTTTACTTTCAATGTAAGTGAATGGATCCAGAATTTTTGTCCAAGACATTTTGGGACGTTTCTTTTTGTCCATTCATCATGAAATTTACACACAATGTAAAGGGCAACAGGCATTTCTAAATTATGTCAAAAACTGAAAAACAAAAATGGAGATATACATATCACAGGAGCTAGAGGCACACAAATCACTAGAATCATATAACTGTTTGGTCTGATGAAGGGCCAGCAAAATTCTTTCTTTACCATCAAACTTGTGATCACACAAGTGAGTAATGTAGCTACATATGTGTTTGATGAGGTTAATCAGTGTTAGCTTGACATTAGCTTAGATTACGTGAGCACTGCTAATGTTCTGCTGGGCCTGCATTATTGTCTAGCCAAATCATGAACTGTTCTCAACACGCAAAAATGTTCAAGGGCAAAACTAAGAACTCCTCCTTCACCTAACTGTCTAGCTATATATTTATTCTCTCTGTTGAAGATTTCGCCTTGGCTGGTTCAGCTCTTCAGTCTCTTTCTTCTCTCAACGCCGGACAGCTGCAATGCTATAGAAGCTTACAGTGTTTGGGTTCATTTTTTGCAGTGTACATAAACGGAATTAATGTTTGTCCCACTAATGTTTGAGTGCGTATACTTAAGTTTTCAGGAAGTTATTGGAATCATTTTGAGTTTCAGTTAGTAAATGTGTTCGTAAAAAAAAAAAAGTAAAAAAATACACTGCAAAAAATTATATTTTAGCAAGTAAAAACAAGCTGATTTCACTTGCTAAGATATCATTTTTTTGCACTGTAAACAAGACAGAAATTGTATTTAGGGAGTGTTCCAAGGCTACTTTCGAGCACTGTATATGCTGATTTACTCTTTGCTTTACTCATCGCATGTCTCTCATGTTTCTCCTCCTGCAGGGTGGAGTTTCAGAATAAATTCTACAGTGGAACAGGTGTTAAATTTGCCCCCTTCGACTTCTCCTTGCTTCCCTCCGTCTTTGAGCAGGACGGATTATTGTGAGCAGTGAGGAAAGTCTGAGTCCTGAGCTAATCTGCCTTGGCTTACTGTGACTTACACACCTCCTGTCTCCTGACGGCGGCTCAGCAGCAGTAAAAACTGCGACTGGACATTTCATTGCATTTCTTCTGCACCATTTTTTCTTTTTTTTTTTAGCAGGATCAGTAAATCCCACACTGACTGTCTGTCTGACAGACTCGTCCATATCAACCAGCTATCAACACTGGTTCCATTTAACATCTGCTGTCTTGCAAGACGTTTGTCAATAAGGCACTGCTGTTATATTTATGTTTGGAAATATGTCCTCTGTTCGCAAACCCTTATTATTTATTCACATACTTTTCCATCATATCAGATTTCAAAAGTGCCATAAGTATTTTTCAAGATACAGTTTTGTATGCCACACTGAAATGAGAACATTCGTCTAGTCTTCTCTCTTCCATGGATCTAAAGCACGCACACACGCACACATTATGAAAAGAAAACTTGTGATGTTGCAGGTAAACTTTTGCAAGTAGAAAAAAGTCATACAACTTCATTTTCATACTAGATAGAATTTTCATTGAAATTTTCATTAAGTACAGTATTAAAGCATAATTTGCAAAAAGATTCCTAATGGCTGATTTTCTGTCTCACTGACTGGGTGTTGAATTTGTGAGGAGCAGAGCATTTAGTTATTTGTTTATGACTTATTATTTCAGAAAGGTCTTTGTTTATAAGTGTGTAAGTTATAACACAGTGGTGTTCCTCTGCAGTTTTGTTTTGGAAAAAAAAATGAACTTAGAAGAAATTTAATTTTTAGTTTTTTTTTTATATTAAAACTGTGAGGGAATGAAAACTCAATAATGATAAAATTAAAAAAGCAGCATAGGTCCTCTGCAGCTTTGGCATCTGTGCAGAATATAAGATTATACAGATTAAACTATAATAGATATTTAATATGAAATATCTTAAAATATTACATATTCTACATACTAAGTATTTACGACTGTAACTCTATATAAAATGTAGAAAATATGAATAAACTTCTTTGTCTGAAGGTCTACAGCGTTTTGGTACCCAACAGTGGAATCCTCTCATCATCGCTGAGGACGGGTCCATTTTAAGAAAATGTGTATTTTAAAAATTGTTATAGGCTGTGCTTAATAGATCTTTTTAAAAAAATAAAAGGGCTCAAATAAATCCTTTACTCGGGCTAGTTAAAGGCATAACGTTGTGTTGCGCCTTCAAAACGGTTTTCTTTTAAATTATATCCGAATGGTAGCGCCTGAAATCCGTTTTTCGCGCACGCGCAGTTTCGGCTCTGGATACTGGGCAGAGAGAGCGCGAAATGGCGTCCGCAGCAGGTAACGTTAAAGGCTAAAATACGCAGGAAAAAACGCTTTTGTGTGTCGAAAGATGCCTGAATATAGTCAAATATCGTTCTGGTTGTGTGTTTACGTGTCTTTTAGCACCTTTTCGTTAGATTGTTGGGTTATAATTTGGGTGGGCTGGTTAGACGGGGCTGAGTTTCTCGTTGGAATTTATCCGTTCCACCTTAAATGGCACGGCAGTTATTATAACGCCTCAGGTTGAAGAATGTAGCTGCTGCACCATTTAAGGCGGAACGGGAAAATTCGAAAAAGAAGCCGACTTAATCCTCGTTTTCAGAAATGGGAATATGAGTAGACATATGAATATGAGTTAGAGGTGATTCACAGTTCTAAAGGTGAGCATATGCTGAAATCTTGTGCCGTGAATTGTTCGGCCGGTTAGCTTAAAGCTAAGGTCAGTCAGTCGTGTTAGAAGGACTCGCTAGCGTGGTGAAGGCAGTGGGCGACACATTTTCGCCATTTTAACGCTAGTGATTTGCTATCAAGATGAACACAAAACGATTTAGCGTATGGACTTATTTAAAAAATGGTCTGTAGATGCAGCAGCCGATTAGACACCACATTGTTAGTTAACTAAGCTAGCTAAGCTAGCTAGTTAACCTAGACAGTTTTGTGTTTAGCCATTTTTAAACTATTCACGTGGTTCGAGCGGACCCGGTATAGTTTAATTATTAATTTTGTATATTTTTTTGTATTTTTTTTCTGTTTCCGCTCCTCTTTCATTCTCAATGTATTGTGGCATGCCAAGCAAACATAACCCTCTTTTTTTAATAGTCCACCTTTTGTTTCTTTGTGGTCAGAGGTGGGGTTCAACCCCTGTAGCACATTTGCCCTTCTATACTGCATTAAAACCGCGTTCTTAAAAAGATTATTTTTCAAGAGTTCAATAAAAAAAACTTTAAAAAGAAAGTTTATATATATATATATATATATATATATATATATATATATATATATATATACACACACACACAACATTCATTCACGTTTTTTTCACTGTAGTGATTACTTCTCTATAAGAAACAGAGATTTACACTCTTAAAAAAAAGATGGTTCTTCAGTGGTTCTTTACTATAGACAATATTTGTATATATAACCATATATATATAACTCTATATAGAACCATTTGTATGCTTAGATGGTGAAATGTTTTTTAGACTGATGGATAATGTTGTATATGGTTCTGTGTAGAACCTTTTTGCAGATGGTTCTGTTTAGCACCAGAAAGGGATCTTCTGTTGTTACAATGTCAAGTATGTAGCAGTAAAAGAGTATTGCTCACCCCATCTTAAAAATAAACTTATCCAGCTCATAAATAGCTCTGCTTATTTGGCTAAAGGGAATTCTAAAAGGGAAACACCAGCCAAGCGTCTATGTCGGCACTGAGCAATTATGAATTTCTCAGGAGTATAATGACCTCTCTGGTGTTCACACTAATTGTTTTGGGATGTACAGTTAATAATAGTTATCAAGAACCAGTCAAAGCACTTGAGAGTTTGACTTTCGTTCCCTCCTCTGTTGTGATTTAAGGTTTTTTGCGTACAGTACTTGAGATCTGACTTAACAATCATCGCTGTTCAGGGCTGTAATTTCAAAAACTATTTTTCTGTCTTGGCTGTCACATAGTTTAATTACAAGTTAACGAATAGTTGCTTGACAAATTTGGTTCCTGTTTTTCTATTCTTTGAAACATGATTAAGCCACAACACAATAAAAACACCCAAAGGAGGAGGGGGAAAATAGAAGGAAAAATCAACCTAGCTGTATGTCAACTGTATGTTTGCTTTCGTTGATGCAGATTATAACAGTTACGGGCAGGCAGGAGGCCAGCAAGGGTAAGAATGAGTATTTATTTATTTGTTTGTGTACTCCCTCCCTCCCCCAAAAATATTCTGGAGTGCCACACACATCTGTCTCTATTGGACAGTTGGTTTGTTTTAATTAAGTGTGTTTTTGTACTTTCAGGTATGGCTCTTATGCCGCCCAGCCCTCTCAGGCTTATGGACAGGGTGCCCAGGTGCGAAACTCTTGGCATTAATTAATGCATTGCCTTTTTTTAATGTGTCTCATCAAAGTCATGTTTAGTGAGCCTCAGGTTGAGTCTCAAGCATGTGAACAAGCTGTTTCTGTCTCTGTAGCAGTCATATGGTCAGCAGCAGGGCTACGGCTCATACACCCAGCCTGCTGATTCAGCCTACTCTCAGACTGGCAGCTCATCTGGGGGTTACAGCCAGCAGGCTTATGGATCTTCGTATGGACAGCAGCCACCAGCCAGTGGTGAGTCATTCCTGTTTGACCAACTTGTAAGGCTGATTTCCTGGATTAAGCCTGCTCTTGGATTAAATTGAAATGCCAGTGGTGAATCATCTTTGAAAATTCGTTTAAAAGGCCTATTTTCTGTATTTGTTCGAAATTGTATTGTTTTTCCATTGAAGTCCCTTTATGATGTGTGGATTTATTTAACGAAAGCATCTGTAATAAAAATTTACATTTTCTAGCTTCTTAATGATTCAGAATTAAACACTGTTTTTGTTACTGTTCCTTTAACACTGAAATATATCAACAGAGCAGAGCCTGCCTTGTAATGTGCCATATTCCAAACAAAAACTCTCCAGAACTGAAACACTCCTTAGAACTTCAGTGTAAATGGGCAGGGCTTAACTGTTATGGCTGAAAAGGCATGGCATGGCATCACAAAAGAATCAAAAAAGGCTGTTTTTGCAATTTAGTTTCAATATATGGACTGGGGAGTGAAATCATAAATTTAATAACAGTATTAGCAGTATTTACTTACTGCATTTGGTTTTCCATCATATATGCCCTTTTAAACTGTTTTTTGTAAATGAGCTCTGTTCTGATTGGCTGCCTTCTACTGTGCCTCATTCAAAAGTAGTCAAGGCTGAAACACTTGTTAACAAGCATTTGTTAACTCGTTATACTTGTTGTTAACAAACTTTTATTGTTATTGTAGCTATTAATTTTTTTTTTTTTCTTTTTTATTTGTTTGTGCAGGTGGCTACAATGCTGCCCCAGCTGGCTCACAGGGCTACAGCCAGCCTGTGCAGGGTTATGGAGCCAGTGGCTACGATGCCTCCTCTGCTGCTGCTGCTGCTGCTGCTGCTTCTTCTTCTTCTTCCTCCAGCAGCAACCAGGCCTCGTACGGCAGCCAGGCTGGCTATGGAGCCCAACCTTCTTATCCTGGGTATGGACAACAGCCCGCCTCCTCAGCACCTCCCAGGTAGCTTTTCCTAGAGTCCTCAGTGTTATTTTAAAAAGACCTCTTGGCAGCAGGTGTCTTCCAGAACTAATTTCAGGATGCTCATTTCCTGACTGAGGTGCTGTGCTTTTAAATTTGATTAGTATCCTGCTGCAGTCCTTTCAAAATAAATGGTTCAAGAGCAATAAAGAGTGCCAAACTCTGATAAAGGAGTTATGATACAAATCTGTACCACTACCCAGCAGACAATAACAGTTTTTTTTTTTATAAAGAATAAATCTAAAACTGTTCAAATGTAGTCAGTTCATTTAATGCCAAATAGCTTCTACATATCTGGCTTATCTGATAAAAGGAACAATAAGCATTAAACTGTGGTTCTCCAGGGCTTACAAGCACTAATTTTGCAGTCGTTAACCACCTCCAGTGTTCTGTGGTCAATAATGTAAGTTAACTGTATACACTTAATTATGAGGCACTTGAGGTATTCATCTTTTGTTTCGTTTTGCCATTGTTTTTGTCAGTTACAGCTCTAGTAGCCAGCAGCCTTCCAGCTATGAGCAGAGCTCCTATTCCCAGCCTCCCCAGCAGGGGTCATATTCTCAGCAGCAGCAGGGCGGCTACCAGGGCCAGCAGGGCTACGGTCAACAGAGCTCATATGGCCAGCAGGGTGGATATCAGCAACAGGCTCCACCTCAGCAGCAGCAGGCTCCACCCTCTAGCTATGCTCCTCCCTCTGGGTCTTATGGTCAGCCTCCTGCTAGCCAGTATGGCCAACAGGGCAGCAGTGGGGGGGGATATGGTCAGAATGACTACAAACCACCCAGTCAGTATGGTAAGTCTTTGCTAGTATAGGGCTAGACTGTTCAGCCTGTGTCAGTATAGCTGATAACTCCATAGGTGCAAGACCATAGAAAAGCCAGTTTAATTCCTGTAAGTCATTCAGTTAGTGAGTGTGAAGAACTCTTAATAATTACATCATTATTATTATTTTTAATTAATTTATATTTTTACCTTGTATATAATGTAATGATTCTGTACCAGGGGTGGGGAACTGAGAGCTGAAGTTCAACACAGTTTGATGCTTCCCCCGCTCTAGCACACCAACTCAACCTGGTAATTAACTGATGCTGATCAGGAGTACTTGAGCAAGAAAATCCCCAAACAGTGCAGGAATTCTTCTCCCAGGACTAGAGCTCCCCACACCTGTTGTATCCCAGTTTCTAGACTTGTACAGGCAATCCAAGAACCACTTGCGTGGTTTTTTATTTTTTTTTTTTTTTTAAGAGTCGAGTGTGGTGCTACTGTACTGAATATATAAATTGTTCCTGAGGCTAAGAGTGCTGAAATTTTGTGTTTCGCTTTAAATGTTCTACTTTTGGTCCTTTTTGTCTTGCAGGTAACTACAGGCAGGACCATCAGAACGGCATGGGCGGTGGCTACTCGGGCCCGGAGTCCAGTGGCTATGGGGGTCCCGGTGAGGGCCGTGGCATGGGAGGGGGGGAGAACCGTGGTCGTGGCCGTGGGGGTTTTGACCGGGGCATGATGCGAGGAGGTGGAATGCGTGGGGGCATGAGCCGTGGAGGCATGGGGTAAGTGCGAGTGTGTGTGTTCTCAGAACAGTTCTGTGCACCACTCTCTTTCTCTCTTACAGGGCTGCAAACGGCCATACAGGGGCTGAGAGCCACAATAAACTAACCCTGATGGGTTTTATTCTGTTACTGTGGCTTAATGTAGCTAAAGTGTAGTTTTAGTCTTTCCAGTGTACAGGTTTGCCCCAGTGTAGCAGAACCTGAGAACAGGTAGAGTGAAAAGTATCCTAGCAAAAGATTAGGAAGTATGTCAGATTGGTCAGTTAGATATATATTGCTCTCAGCCCTCAGCGACATGGCCGAAGGTAAGAGGTTTTTATGGGGAAGACCAAGAAAATCTTTGGCAGGGTTCTTTTATAAAGACTCCATTGGGTATCACAAAAATCAAGTGTGACTTTAAAGTCTCCAAAACATAAATATCAAAGCTTTATGTGGTTTATTCATATTCTCAACTTCTGTTTAATCCAAGGTTACAACATTTGAGTAATTTTTCAGGAGGGGAAGGTGTAACTATTAAGAAATGTGGCTTTTTGCTCTTAAAGCACATGGGCTGATTTAGAAGTTTAATAATGATTGAAATGACGGGGCTTTTCTACAATCCTGTTATTAGATTTTGCATAAAGGTATTGAGGCCCGTCAGTTACTGATAACTGAAATGATCTTCAGAAGTGATATTTCAGAAATAAGAAGCATTCATTCTTTTCATGTTTTTTAAATTCCCCTCCAGGTTAAAGGTATACTAAAGGTTTTATGGAGCAAAACTGACAGTATTTTGGTCAATATTAAGGTCTTGACATTTGTTTTCAGAAGGTTACCAGTGATTACTTTCCCCGAGGTTTTACTCATAATACATTGTTTGAGATGCAAAGGTGGTATTTGAAGGTGAATGCAGTGTTTTTAAATGCTATTATAGGATACAGTTGAAGAGTTTTGTTCCAAACTGCTGTATATCCATGAAATTCATAAAAAGTTTGGAAAAGAGGTTTGAGAAGAATAACAGATGACATAAGGGACTTTGAAGAAAAAAATGTTTTTCTAATACAGGTTTTATTAATCACAATGTAGAATTGATGTTTCTAGCATTTAAATGACTAAATACAAAAAAAAGAATGTATGAAATTGGTGTATTTTACAATGAATCCCTTCATTGAGTTTTATTTCAACATGATTTTATTATTTCAGCGTAATGTTGTGATCCTCGCCTAAATTAGAAATGCAAAATGTTACTTCTTGGGTAGGAAAGGTTCTCCTGCTTCATTAGAAAGTGATACTGTGGTTACTGTGAGTTTTCCTCATACATAATACAAAATACACTGCATCCATTTTCTCTTTCCCCTCATGAGTTATGGGAGTAATATTCTGTTCATATTAACAGTATATTTTCATATTTTTTATCTGATAATGATTATTGCATTTGTCTCTTGTGAAGTGAATATGAGCAATTTTTCTTTAACATGCTTTGTCGCATTTATACGCTGCAGGTAACAAAGTGAGAGCCATGTTAACACAGCAATACATTTACAGTACCGCTACTCAGTTCAGTCTGGCCCGGCAGCCTTTTCAAATGGGGACATAAAGAATTGATGGCGTCATTTAAAGCGGAGAGATGGTTCAAGTGTCTATAACACCTTGGGGGGATCAGAAAAAAGTGTTGTTTATTTTTAACAAAAAAAAACCTTGTAATGGTAATTTTTGAACATGTTTTTACTAGCATTTTTACTTTGTGTAATTATTTCTTAAACCTATTTGTAAACAGATGGTGTATTTTTTTTTTCGTTTGACAAAGTGCATGTATCAGCATTCTGTAAGCAGATTGTTTCAGATGCAGCTATAAAAATGTGGAGTTACCTTTATATTTTTGCAGTGGACTTGCTTTACATTCTGAGGGAACTTGCAATGGTGCTGTTTATATTCTGAACATTTCTTCATGCAGTTAAAGCTTAGTTTTTCAAATATGCAGTCTTTTATTAGTTGTACAATAGCTGGGCTGCGTCTGAAACAATTATCTTCTCTTTTTTCTGTGTATATATAAACAGTATTGGGGTTTTCCACCCCTGTGGTAATAAAGAATCCCCTCCCCCCATTTTAACATTTTCAATTTTAGAACCTCACTGTTCAGCCACAAATATGTATAAAGTTTTTTTTAAGCCACAGGCAAAAGCTTTTGTCATTAGAATAACCCCACAAATGAGTGTTAGTCTGAGAAATTGTAACTAGAGGTGGGGTTAAGGGCCTTGTTTGGGGGTCTTTAGAGCCAGAACTGTACAGTCTCCCCCATAACCCCTCCTTTTGTGGTACTGAAGTGGCTGTTTTAAAGGGAAAATCGCCTTCATATCTCCGCTTATTCCCCCAGCATCGCTGGAGACAGAGGTGGCTTCATTAAGCCTGGTGGTAAGTTTTAATGAGAATTACAAGACCATACACTAGATTTTTAAACTGATTAAATCTTCGTGCTTCCACCTTTCATGGATATTGATATTATTGAGGGAATTTTTTTCCATTTTTCGCTTTGGGGAAAAATCCGTATCAAGACACAGTCTGCTGGAATTTTAAGGGTTTTCACTGGATTATTATATTTTGGTTTACAAAAGGGCTGATTCAGTTAAAAGCAATCTGGGTTAAAAAAAAAAAAACTGGACTCTTTCAGTCAGTGTTTTTTTTTATTTTGTTAAGGGTTTAAAGATAATACCACAATACCAGTGTAAATGGCCTTTTATTTCAATATGAAATTAAGGTATGGAGTCCAATTTGGGTCCCTGGTTTTCAGTGGTTTTGAAATTTTTTTTTATTTGTGGCACACTTGCAAAAAACAAATTTAAGAAGAACTAAAGAGTTTAGGTTCATGTATACAGGTATTTTGAATATATATTTAAAAAAAAAGACTTTTTCCTATGATTTTCACACCACATCGTTGTGTACACTTTGTGGGATATTTTTGCTTTCTGTGTCTTTGAATGTTCAGAGAAGCAAGTGTGCCAGAGAAATGGTTACCTGGGAGGTCTTTTACCTGGAGTTGGTAGCACGGTCTTGTCAGGTGTTCAAGAAGTTAGGCATCCAGACTAACTTCTCTTTTTCTCTCTCTTCCTTCCCTTGTCATCCTCTGTGATTGTCGGGACCAGACTCAGAGATGGGTGAGCATATATTTTTGGTTGTTCATTGTTAATTTTGTATCTGTCTGCATTTTCTTCATGGCTAATGAAGAAGTGCGGTAGTGTATGTGTGCTTTAGGAGTCCCAGAAGAGTAATGGTAGTGTATGTGTGCTTTAGGAGTCCCAGAAGAGCAGGATGACTCTGAGAACAGCACCATTTACATCACTGGCCTGACTGAAAACGCCACACTGGATGAAGTGGCTGACTTTTTCAAGCGCAGCGGCATCATCAGGGTGAGGGGCTTTGTTAGCTACATTTAGCTACATTAGCCTCGTAGCTGCAGTGCAAAAGTAAAGAACAAATCTTCAGATACTAAACCTGTCTTTTGATTCATGAAAGTGTCTTGAGACAAAAATTATTCTTAAATGTGCGGTTTTTTGAGTGAAGTTAGGAAAAAATGTTATTGTTCAAATAACTTCATGAAAAATTATCTATATTCTTTTCTTAACTGTTTTCTTATGAATAGTTCTAAGAAGTGGTATTCTTGCAAAAAATGTTCTTAAGTTTTCGTAAATATGACAGCCTTGGACAATGCAGGAATAGCATTTGAATAGTGGCTTTTATATTTGCAATTATGGATAGATTTCTTGAAACATCTTAATTTAAATACTGTACTGTCTTCTTGCAGATAAACAAGCGTACAGGCCTTCCTGCTATAAACATCTACACTGACAAGGAGTCGGGCAAGCCGAAGGGTGATGCCACCCTATCCTACGAAGAGCCCCCATCGGCCAAGGCTGCAGTGGAATGGTTTGATGGTGTGTGTTTATTACAACCATATCTAAATCTTCCAGAAAGGTTTGCCCCCTGGACTGAGTCGGAGAAGACCTACAGGCCATTCACTTTGCGATATGATGAGACTAAATCATAAACAGCCCAATTTTGGAGATTCCCTTTAAATATTGTCAGTTTTTAATTCAGAATCATTTTAAAACTTGAGTACATATTTGCAGTGGTTTGTTTGGAAATTCTGACTGCTCTGTTTCTCTGGTTATGAACAGGTAAAGACTTTCAGGGGAAGAAGCTGAAGGTATCGATGGCTCGCCGGAAGCCCATGATGGGGATGATGCGTGGGGGGATGCCCATGAGGGGAGACCGTGGTGGCATGATGGGACGAGGAGGTAAGTAGTGGCCTAGAACTGTTATAGAAACCATACTTGAGGTTGTTGGTTTATGTTTAGAGTTAAATAATGAAATCTGGTGAATGAGAATTTGGATTATCTGGGGTACTGTAAATTTTGTGTTAGTTGAGTTTTGTAACTGTCAATTATAAAAGGTGGCCAGAGTTGTGTTTTTTTTTGTTTGTTTTTGTTTTTTTTGTTTGTTTTTTTTTGCAGCCATGCTAGTTTAAAGAAAATGTCTATAGTAGATGATTTTGCAATGATAATGCTGCTTCCAGTCTTACATGGATGTAATATCTGAAGATTCTTAGTTATGCAAGATAGTGGGTCCCCAGAAGCACTGATGTATGAACAGGAACAAATGAACAGCAGACTATAGAAATAAGTGCTTGTCATGAAGCCATTTCTTTCCTGCAGGGATGATGGGTCGTGGTGGAATGGGCCGTGGGGGAGAGCGTGGTGGATTCGTACCACGTGGAGGGCCAAGAGGAATGGGCCGCGGTGGACCCACTGGGGGGAACATGCAGCAGCGGGCTGGTGACTGGCAGTGTCCCAATGCGTAAGGATCTTAATATACACACAGCATTGCAGTACAGCTAATAAATCTGTGCACTAAGGGTTGGGTTTCTTAGATGCGTTGTAGTTCTTAAAGTTTGATGCCCATTTTGCTGCCTGTTTTTGTTTTTACTTGAAATAGTACAAACAGATTAAACTACTTTAATTAGCGTGATCTAAAGAACAAAAATCAAATAATGTAGTCTTGTTTTAGATGGTAGATGGCTTTTCAGGCTAATATAGGCTATAGAAATCAAAAATCAAGATGCATGTAAAATCGTCTTGTTGTGGCATTCCGAATTGAAATCAAATGGTGGAGGTGCCTAGATTTCCACCCCTACTGTCACAGACTATGGTGTGTTGGTGAACACTGTGTTATGTAATGCCAAGAAGATTTTTTGCTGATTTTCTTTTGCTCTCTTCCATGATAGGGGATGTGGAAACCAGAACTTTGCCTGGCGGATGGAGTGCAACCAGTGTAAAGCGCCCAAACCAGAGGGCTTCGGACCACCACCCTTCCCTCCAGGTAACTGCTTAGAAATTTGTTCCTGTCCTTTCAGGCCAGATAATTACACTTGTACCACTTGTACACTTTTGCTCTCTAGTTTCCCACCAGCAGTTAGTCTGCAGTTTATGCTTGTGTACTTATCATTGGACTCCTGGGAGATTTAAGCCAGTAAGGGTGAATAGGTGCTGACCGTACATTTTGTGTTTAGGTGGTGAGCGTGGCCGGGGTGGTCCTGGTGGCATGCGTGGTGGCCGTGGTATGGACCGTGGAGGACCAGGAGGACCTGGCGGACCCGGAGGTTTCCGCGGGGGTCGAGGAGGAGACCGTGGCGGTTTCAGAGGAGGACGGGGCATGGACCGAGGTGGTTTTGGTGGAAGGGGCCGGGGTGGCCCACCCATGGATGACATGGGACGGAGGGGGAGAGGAATGGGGCCACCTGGCAAAATGGACATGAAGTGAGTACAAATACATGGTCTGTCTGTGTATATGGAAAGGGCAGGTCAACCAAAAATGCTCACATGCTTAACTCTGTATAATTTATCAGTTGTTATGGTGATTGTAATACTGATTTTGCAGCCAGGGCCAGTATCACCATGAGAGTCCTTTAACTAGTGTTTATTTATTGATTGACTTGATTGATTGATTCACTTACTTGCTTACTTTTGCTATGCGCTCAGAACATCTTGACCAGTCACAGTTTCAAGAAGAATGTTGTTCAGTCAAGGCGTTCTCCTAACAGTGGTTGAAGTAAAACGCTGTATCAGAAAAGGATCACTTAGAAAGCTGAACGTTCTTTGATAGGTGGGGTGGTGGGAGGGGCTAGACCTACCTGGATTAGCTTTACAAACATTCTAGCCTTAACGTTCTGCTCTTTTGGAGTTTAAGAAACTTTATATTTGTCAAATCCGTCTAACGTTTTTATTTATTTTTAATACAACTATGTGCTGACACCAGTATGATTCTGATTTAGTGTGCGTCCCAAATTATTTGTATGCCCCCCCCCCACCCGCTGGTGCATGGTGACATAGTAAAAATAAAAAGTTATGTTTTTTTTCAAGGAACATGTTAGGAAAACAAGAATTGTGCCTTTGAAATTGTATAGGATGAATCGTGATTTAATGTGACTGGAGCATGATCTGTTACGGTTAAAAAAGATCTGTTTTGATTTCAGGAGTACTTTTAAAAATAAAGCAAGTCAATCTTCAATCATGTCACATTATTGATTAAATGTGTTATCGCAAGGAGTATCACAGTTGCATTGTGCAGCAGTGTATCAGTAGTAGTGCTTTGTCCATTTCGTGCAGCCTTACTAACAATGAATGAAAGCTAGTGGTAAAGAAAACCTGGCAGTTTGGTCACAGTTGGGGTCACTTAAACCAGAGGTGGGGGAACTCCGGTCCTGGAGGGCTGGATTTCTGCACAGTTTGGTGAATTTCTTGCTCAAGCACACAAGTCATCTCATAAGTTAATCACCAGGTTTAGTTGGTGTGCTCATGCAGAGTGTGTATAGTGGTCTGTAGGACTAACACATTCAGCTCATTAATTCAGTTCTGTCATTTTTCTCAGGGGAGACCATCGCCAGGAGAGGAGGGAGAGACCATACTGAGACCTCAAATTCCCCACTTCAGTTTTCATTCAGAAGATTTTAAAACTTGTAATTCCATATTTATAATGGTTAGTATGGAAATGTGACTGCTCTGCAGGTAGTCCTTAGTAACCTTATTTTATTTTTACAGTTTTATTTTTGTTTTTTTTGTTTGTTTGTTTGTTTTTTTAAGTCCTTGTGTGCTCTTCATTATGGTCAGGAGCTGTTGGTGAATCCGGATGCCATGCATGCTGTTAAATGTACAGACTGGATTTGTGGAAGATGTTTATTGTGGAACAAGCTATTAATTTTTTTTAAAGCTGACTCCTGTTTTGCTTTACCTGCCCCCATTCCTGTATGAAAATGTTGAATTAAAAAAAGTCATGCTTTGAGTTGTCCAAGTTTGAATGCTGCATTATCTTCTGTAGGGATCCTAGCATGACTGCTTTTGGCTAGAATGTGATGGAAATGTGTGCGTGGGTTGATGTGGTTGTGGTCCAAACTGAGCAAAGATGAGGGGCCGTATCACCAACTTACTTTCTTTTTGTCTTAAGATCTGACGGGTGAAGATAAGATTTTACAAATTTGTGATACAGAAGCACATCTTAATTTAGTAATCTTATACTACAGCAGGTTATCTCAAGTTATACAACAGTTAGTTCCGGCCACGCAAGCTGATTGGTTGAGAAGCGTTCTAACCGTGCTGTTATTTCGCCATAACAGCACGAGTTTTTCACAAACACTATCACTCCGCTGAGACGCCGTTGCTAAACAACGACTTTGCTGTAGGAGACGCTCAAGCCATTTGAACGTTTTTACTTCTTACTTTGCACAAACAGAAAATGGATACTTTTAAGATCACATTTGACCTACAGCCGATTTGGTCAGACTCTGAAGATGAGACTACACTAAATTCCCAAAATGTCATCACCACTAAGCAAGCTTTTCAGTTAGCAGCTGTGACAGAAGAAATCCTAAACAACCTGGAATCAGCCAGAAATGAACCGAATACCATTCGCCAAACGTGTAGTCTCAACTTCAGAGGCTGACCAAATCGGACTGAGCCATGAAACTGGCACAATAAAAAACAAAAAAGCTGCTCAGAGGTGATGACAGTTTGGGAATTTAGTGTAAGGAGCTGGGGAATGAACTGCCGGCTGTGCAACGAGTGAGCGGAGCTCCTTACTCTGACGTAGCAACGAGCTGCTTGTTAAGGAACTAACTAGACCAAATCGGCTGTATGTCAAATGTAATCTTATCCATTTTCTGTTTGTGCAAAGTAAAAATGTTAAAATGGCGTGAGCGCCTCCTACAGCTGTCAAACTCGTTGCTTAGCAACGACGTCTTAGCGGGGTGATACAATGTGAAAAACCCGTGAGCTTATGGCGAAATATCAGCACGGTTAGAACGCTTCTCAACCAATCAGCTTGCGTGGTCGGAACTAACTGTTGTATAATTCGCGATAACACACTCCCTCTCGCGTGCTATTGCTTAATTAACCTATTCGATTGAAGTTGACAATCAACTGTCATACCTTTTACCAAGCAACCGACCGTAGGTGCACAGCTGAAAGGTAAACACGTAATCAGTACAAGTTAGATCGCCAGACAGCTACCATTAACTACTGATACTGATGTAAAGAGGTCAAAGAAAACTAAAGCGCCATAAACTTTAAGAGCGCGCCCCCTGCTATTTATCAGAGCGTCGCTGCTCTGCATTTCTGTCTCCATTTCCCAAACGCTTTAGCCGAGCGCACTAACGTTAATCATCCCAATAAACAGACACGTTCAGCACTGTCTCCTGATTATTCACCATCACTGTAATATTTTATCATTAACAGGTAGTAAGAGGGCTGGTGAAGTTCGTGTCTGCAGTGTCTGATATTTTTAAAACGCAAAGTTAAAAAAGAAAAACATCACAAATGAAAGCAGCGTTTCACAGTATAAATTAATGTAGCGTCAAATGTAGTGCCTGACACAGCTGCCTAAAAACGACAGAAACGGACATTTAAACAGAAGTTAGGACACTGTTGGGGTTTATCCTAAAGTTAGGACGGTATTTAGGAGATTTAGTCTAGTTAGGATGTTTGTGTAATACTGTTTTCTTATCTGGAGTTAATGATGAGATTATGAAGTTAGGAACTGTTATTCTGTAATAGCTACTGTCCTAAATTCAGTCCATACTGAAGTCGTCATGGAGACTAAACCGATCAGATTTCAGAGTTAGGGTGTTTCTGTAATACGACCTTGAGTCCCTAAACCGCTTGCATGGTTGAGGAAAACAGTTCACTTGATGAACCATCAAAAGCTGCAAACTCTGAAAATAAACAATTTGAATGTAATTTCATGCTTAATTGCGATGCATGAACTGGCAACTTTTGAGACCAAAATTATATATGGTCTTGTTTTCGTCTGCGTAGGTCAGAAAGCCTTATAAGTTCATCATGTATTTTTAATGATGTGTGGAGAGGGAAAGCCCTTTACATGTTTTCAATTTTTGCAAGTAGATAAGTTGAACCCATTCATATCCAACAACTAAATTTAGTATGATGAGGAAAAGTTGTTCTAATTTAAGTGATAATGTTGTGTAGTTATATGCCTTGGACAAACATAAGTGCCTTTTTTAATTGCATGTAATGTATGCTATTTTTATTCACTGAAATGTGTGTTTTCTGTTTTATCAGTACTCATATGTCCCCAAAGGGCTAGTTTTAATATGAAAAAATGTTTCAGATTTGTGCTCAGAGAACATACAGATCAAATGATATTTAAAGGGCTCAATGTAAAATAGTTTGATGTTGGACATAAACCCTGTTCACCCCCAGTCCATATACGGAAACCTAGCCTGTTTTGCATTTATTGTTTTTGTGATGTCACAAAATCAACGCACTTGCACACATCCAGCTACAGCAGTTAGGGCCCGGCCCTTCTCACTGAAATTCTAAGGAGTGTTTCAGCCTGAACTGCTTTTTGAATAAGGTGCAATACAGGGTGGCCAGTGAGAACAGAGTTCATTTACATATATCAGTCTTAAAGGCACAGTAATGAAGTTAGATAAGATAAAGAAAAAAAAAGTTTGATACTGGGCCTCAGATCGTAGACGTGGTTAAAGCAGTGCCGGGTTATGAGCAGAATGGAGCTCCAAGGAAACGTGTTTGGTCGTTTTCTTAGAGTCGTCGCCCTCCTGTGGCCACTGTTTGAACTGCACCCCAGCATCTCGCAATATTTTCATTATTGTTATTATTATTATAAATAAAAAAATCAAGATCTCACCAGACGAAACAAACACCATGTTCGTAGCGGCGTGACGTGTCATTACTACTATAATTATTTTGTTAATAAAGGCCTGTTTCGTGTTTCATAAAAGTGCCTGTTAACATCCAGCCCGTATAGAGAAACGCTCCTGTTCTACGTCACGTTGCAGAATCTGTGCTGTCGCTGTTGGTATGATCTGTCGACGTCATCGCGCCGTGTTCCCGCCACAGCCCATCAGAATTTGCCCCTCGCGGTGGGAGGAGGGCAGAACAGAGTAGATAGAGAGAGGGGGGTGGGATGGCTGAGGGTGGCAGCAGGTTGCAGTTCGCGATGCTGCAGCAGCGTTAGTGTTGATTCAGGTGGAGCAGCATGTGGTGCCCGTAGCGTCTGCAGCCAGGAGGAGCCTTCAGTCCCTCCTCACTCCTTCACTCCCAGCGGCTGGTGGAGACATCATGCGTTCGTAAAGCCGGCTGAAAATGAACGGGCATGTTAAAATCCTCCCCTCTCCCACGTCCTCCTCAGCTGGACACAGCGCCAGCCCGGACACGCACAGAGGATGGCTGCTCAAATGGACCAACTATCTGAAGGGCTACCAGCGCCGGTGGTTCGTCCTCAGCAATGGCCTTCTGTCCTACTACAGGTAACTGAAACCTTCATCTGGGCATTAAGAGCTTTACAAACAGACCTGCCCGGCTAGAATTCTCTAAATACTCTCCTCTGTTTTAATGCTGCCTCGTTTTGATTGGTGGATTTACTTGGTTCCTCTCAGCGGTTCTTCCACATGTTCTTGTAGAAGTTCTTTCTTTTGAGTCTTGGTTCCTACTCATGCCCTTATGTAGTTTTTCCTTTCAAGTCTTGGTTCCCCTCAGTGGTTGCTCCACATGCTCTTGTAGAAGTTCTTTCTTTTGAGTTTTGTTTTTTCCTCATGCTCTTGGAGAGCTTCTTCCTTTGAGCCTTGGTTCCTCCACATGCTCTCAGGGACTTTCTTCTTCTGAGTCTTGGTTCCTCTCAGTGTTTCTTCCTCATGCTCTTGGAGAAGTTCTTGCTTTTAAGTCTTGGTTCCCTCTCATGTTCTTTCATAGTTTTTCCTTTCAAGTCCTGGTTCCTCTCAGTGGTTCCTCCCAATGCTCTTAGAGGGCTTCTTCCTTTTGACTCTTGGTTCCTCTCAGTGGTTCTTCCACATGCTCTTGTAGATGTTCTTTTATTTGAGTCTTGGTTCCTCCTCATGCTCACATGCTCTCAGGGACTTTTTTCTTCTGAGTCTTGGTTCCTCTCAGGGGTTCCTCCTGAGTTCTTTGAGTCTTTGCTCTTTCTCATGTACTGAGTTTCTGCCTTTGAATCTTGGTTCCTCAGTGGTTCTTCCTTGGATTGCTTATTATTATTATTAGGGATCTGGACACATTTTCACATCATGTTTAACAGCTTGTGTGTGTCTATGATGAAGTGAGATGTTCTCCTGTAGAAGCAGATAGTGTGGTCGTATTTGGGAGCTGCTACAAAGTTTGTGGACAGTCCTTTGCACCCTGGTGGCTCTGGGTGAAGCTCATATTACACCACTGTTTCCCAGTTCTGCTCCTACAGGCCTTGTGCTCTGCACATTACAGTGATTTTCTGCTCTGACACCACAATTATAACTACTTGAAGGGTTTGAGAATGAGCTGATCAGCTGAATCAGGATTGTTAGAGCAGAAGATCACTCAAATATGCAGGACAGGGTTAGAGCAGCACTGAAAAACTGTGCAAGGCTGCATTTGAATATGTCCCCAGCTTAGCTTTTAAGGGGAATTCCACAGATTTTCTCCTTGTTTCTGCACAACTTAATGGTGTGATGTGAAATGCTCTGTTTGAGAGAAACTTACTGAATCAGAATTCTTCACAGTGGTGGTGTTAGGAACCGGACGTCCACTTCTAAAAGCTCCCTCACAGAAAATTATTACATGAAATGGTTATGAATGCACTGCCTGATGTCTCAGACATTGTTTTCTGATAGTTTTAAGAAAGTTTTAAACTCCATTCATGGTACATGCAAACAAAATAGTCCTCAAAGAAGTCTTATTATTCTCAGATTTATCACTATTTTCCCATCATCAACATTCCATATAAAAGCTCAGAAGACACGTGTAGGTTCACTGGTGGTTTTGGATGGTAAATAAAATGTCTATATTTGTGTTGTAGTCATGGTGACCCCTGGTTCCTACCACTGTAAAGAAATCTGTACCATTTCACACCAAACCACTCTGAATCACTCTGTTTACATTCAGCCACTTAATTCTACAGACATTTTGAAAAAAACGGTGGAATTCCCCTTTAAGGCATAGAAGTCTGAGAGAAAAAAGATGCATTGTTATTTGACATTAGACAGAATTCTGTTAAACACATAACATCTAACATCTATCGTCTAACATGGTCTAGTTCTACTAGCTGTTTAAAGTGATCCTTCATTCGAGGGTTTTTAACTCTTCTTGGCTTGGATGTACGGTTCTAGGAAAGCCTTTACATTATTTGGAGGTTCTAAAAACTTAGAATATTTTAAGGAGTCCAGTGAGAAGCCCAGCAAAATGGCCTACAGGCAGCATGTGTGGGCTTCAGTGTTGCAGATAAAAGCTTCATGATATCTGCAGTGTGTGTGTCTGTTAATGATGGGTATTAAAGGGGAATTCCACTTTTTTAAAGTAGTTTTTTTAAATATAGTTTCTCTGTAAATAACTTCGTTTACATGTATTACTGTGATTTGATGTGAAATGGGGATATAGGAACCAGGGGTCACAATGTCTACTGTTTTCTCTCTGGGTTCTACCAATTTTTCAATGTCTGCCTAATTCCATGGTTGAGTGGTGTGGTGTGGTGTGAAATGGATGATTGTATTGACTTGTAACGAGAACCAGGGATTGCCATGTCTACAACACTAATATAGCCATTTTTTTACGTTTACTATTTCCAAAACCACCAGTAAACATACACATCTCTTCTGAATGTTTATATGGACTGTTGGTGATGGTAAAATAGTGATAAACCTGAAAAAATGTTTTCTTTTGGGACTATTTTACTTCACAACGCCCTGCATATCATCTACCATGAATGGATTTAAAAAAAAAAAAAGTCCAGAATATCAAAAATAGTCCAGACTGTGTTTCCTACATCAGGCAGTGTATTCATAAGCATTTCATGTAATAACTTTCTGTGAGGGAGCTTTTAGAGGTGGATGTCTAGTTCTTATCACCACCACTGTGAACAATTCTGACTCAGTAAATTTTCTCTTTCACACCAAACCACTCTGAACGACTCGGATTACATCGTAAACATTTAATTATGCAGACATTTTGAGAAATTAGTGAAATTCCCTTTTGAAAGTGTAGTGAAAGGCACAGAAAGCCAGGCTACAGATAGCAGATAAAAGCTTAGTGTTATCTGCAGGGCTGAGTAGATGGTGTGTAAAGTGCTGTGTGGATTGTAATCCAGGTGGCTGTATTTGTCTTTAGGACTCAAGCTGAAATGGCACACACCTGCCGTGGCACCATTTCCTTGGCGACGGTACACATTGAGGTGGGAGACGCTTGTCACCTGGTGCTGACGAGTGGGGGGCGGAACTACCACCTGAAGGCCAGCACGGAGGCGGATTGTCAGCGGTGGGTTTCTGTGCTGCAGCAGGCCAAAGCGAATGCCACTCAAATGATGCACCAATCAGGTGAGGGCTCCATACTTGCGGTCTTCAGGGTCACATTCGGGTCAGTATACATTCTGCTGGACGTCTGGGAACCACTTAGCTCCTCAAAGTAGTTTTAATACAAATGATTATGCTTTGTACATTCACAATAATTAACCATATTAAAGGGGAATTCCACTGAATGTTTAAAATTTCTGCATAATTAAATGGTTAAGATATAAACAGAATCACAGTGGTTTGGTGTGAAACGCTTTACTATAGCAAAACTTTAGAAAGTCAGAACTGTTCACAGTGGTGGTGATAGGAACAAGACGTCCACCTCTAAAAGCTCCCTCACAGAAAGTTATTACATGACAATGTTCTATGAACACTCTGATGAACATGAAGTTGAGTGTTGAAGCTAAATATTCCCAAAGCCACATCACAGAGCTACTTTATGATAAACTAAACCTTTTACAGGGTTTTTAAGATAAGTAGTGTGCCTTCCTGCAGAGGTCATCTCCAGAACAAAGCTGACTCCCAATGTTCAGAAGATATTTGTGTAAGACTGGAGTTGATCCTAAAACCTCTAGAAATGTAGATTTCCAAGAAGACAGTTGGTGATCGTTGAATTTAAAGGGGTAATCCAGCCTAAAACTAGCGTTTAATGTTATTTGTTATGTAATGCTACATTCTGTAGTGCTGCATTTTTCAGCCTCATCGTTTTGACAGAACTAATTATTCAATGTCCTTTTTGCATTTCCATCCACAGTGTTTTCTCACTACAAAACCCAGCATGCATTGCGCAGATATGTCAAACCAGTTATTGGGACTCTTTCCCATGGCAATAAATAAATAGACTGATGTAGAAGCTAATAAATAAAGATGTTATATTTTGCTTCCTAGTAGTAACGTTTGGTATCTGGGTTCCTTCTTCGTTCACCAGCTAAGGGGGCGGGGGGGGGCAATTCCAACAGCCCACAATGATGCATCTGTTTTACAACTGATGCTTGAATTTTTTCATTTTGGCCAGAGTGTCCTTTTAAACTGTGTGCTCATACAACCTGCTGTTATTTCTGTCTTCAGTGTTCCCCATTGTTTTGTTTTTGTGGGTTTTTTTTTTCTGAGCTTGAATTAATATCCAGCTTGACATTTTCCATTATGCTCATATTGGCTTTTCTTATGTTTTGTGCCCTTTTGTTGAGACCCAAAAAATGTTTCCCCAGATTTGACTTTGATGTTCTTTGAGTGATATTTAGTAGCTACAAGCTTAATAGTGTCTGTAGAGTGTATGTCTGTTCTGGTGTTAATAATGGCTGGTGAAGAGGAATTCTGGAATTTTCCATGTCATTTAAAGGTTTCTTTTAGAACTGTACATTCTTACCAATGTTTAAGGTGTAAACAACGTCATTCAGGGTGGTTTAATGTGGAATGATTCATTGTAGAGAAACAGATTTCTCTACAGTGTCGCTGATATGAACCAGGGGTCGCAGTAAAAATATGCAAATCATGCAAAAATATTTATTTCATCTTTTTTTTTCATCTTACATTTTTGCATGATGATTTACATTGTGTTGAAATTTGATGATAACCCAGACCAATAGAAATCTAATGTTACTTGGAAAAACATATTTTTACATTTACTTCCATTACATTATTAAGTTAATGTTTTCTTCTTCTAAAGTTTCTATGTTGGATGTTTTGCTCTAACATCGACGTCATCCTCAAACCTTCCCAAAATGTAAAATCATAAGATAGTGTCTTAGACATCAAACAATGTATTCATTTTATGTAATAACTTTCTGTGAGGGAACTCTTAGAGGTGGATGTCTGGTTCCTTTCACCACCACTGTGAACAGTTCTGACTCGGTAAGGTTATCTAAAATGGAGCATTTCACACCAAAACAACTCTGAATGACTGTTTACTTTTAACTTATCTCAACCAATTAATTAGGCAGTTTTTGTGGGAACAGATCAACATACTTCCACTTTGAAATCAGAAATGGTGTCAGTTTTCAGTCGGGCAGTCATTTTTAGGTATTAATTTGATTTTGGAACTCATAGTGAAATATGGTGCGTTGGATTTCCTGTTTGAGAGTCTGATTGTGTGTGTTTGAAACCACTGCTGACTCCACAGCTTCAAAGAAGGCTTCAGCAGCTGCTGGAGGGAGTAAAAATGTTCCCATTCAGCACAAATTAGTCTAAATGGCAAGAGCTGAGTGACTTTCCTCATCGGAAGATAATTTAGCGAAGAGACACGCCTTAGGGAGCCAATTCATGTTGAGCACTACCCAGTGAAAGAAAAGAACTTGGCTGAGGTTCTGCAGGCCGTTATGTCGGTGTTGAATGAATGGGACAGAGTGGGTGCTGGGCAGAAAAAGGCGTTTAAATGGTTATGTCCTTCTGTGAGGGTGCGCAGCTTTTCAGTTAGTGGCCTCTAGAGGGCGCACTAGTCAGTGAATTCCTGCAGCCAGGAGCTTTGTGTTTATATTTAGATGCAATTATGGTAAGCAGTGGGTCTGTCTGCAGCAGCGTGCTGGGATAAATGTGAATAAATGACAGGCAGCCATTCTGCAGGCTCTGTAATTGATTGGCTGAACTGTACACGCTGTGCTGTATGTCCTCCTCTTGTCCTCTTTCTGCTCCTCTAAATGGGAAACATGAGCTTCTCTGTGATGCGTGTGGTTAAGGCGATAGTTTGACAAATTTTGCCCCACTTACCCCAAATGTAGCTGATCAGCCACGTTTGTTCTATTATTCGGTTTTAGCACTGGAGCATGAGGGGCTAATGAGCTTAACAGGTGCATTATGGATACCAGTTAGCGTGATGCTAACTGCATGCACTGCATAAATCATCATACACTCTCCTCAAAGTGTGTGGAGTTGTTCAGTATCTCTAATAGACTTAATTATGTGGTTTCTTACACTGTATGATGATTATCTACACACGTAAAGATGGTTCTTCAAGGATTCTTTAGTAAAGAAAATGGTTCTATATAGAACTATGAACAAACAAAGAACCCTTTGTATGATTAAACGGTTCTTTGTGAAGTGGTTCTTCAGATTGATGGAGAACGTGCTGTAGATGGTTCTATATAGAATCTTTTTGGAAAGGGTGCTATATAGCACCGAAAAGGGCACAACTTTTGCCATGCGATGTACTCTTGTGAATTTTTATAGATTGCAGTGCGTTATACAGTGCCAGAAAGCAGACGTCTTGGCTGATTGAAAGAATTCGAAGGGGTTGGGGAAGGAGGGAGACTGTAAATTTGCTAAATATCACATTTAGTAATATCTTTGTGTTTTTTTTTGTTTTATTTATTAATACGATTTTAATATTAAATGTAGGCCTGAAGACAGTGGAAACTTTACTGTGGTGTAATCGATAAACATGCTATTTAATATTGTTAAGCAAGCTAAGTTGGGTCTCTTTTCCACTGTAGGCCACTAGATAAGTTAACTAGGTTAGAGGAGCCGTTAGATAGGCCCTTTTCACAGGAGGTGGAAGTACTTCAACGGTGGGAAAAACATTTTGCTTTTGCCTCACAGAAGATTTTCAACCTCAGAAATACTGGCTATGATATCTCTTCAGCTCCTCATGGAAGTGTCACGTCATCTTTGTCATAGTTGCAAAGATTGAAATTAGAGGATGTGTCCAGAATTGTTGAGCTAGTTTGAAATGGCTAGAGGAGCCGAGGAGTTCTGTAAGCAAACTGAACTTATTGACAGGCCCTTTTCACAAAAAGCGGAGTCCAAGCTGAACACAGGATGTAAATACTTCACAGTTATCAGAGTATGACAACAGCAGCTAACGTCTACAGTGTGATAAAACGATGGATGGTGAAAATAACAATAACCAGAAAGCTTATAGTTATTGTAGTTGGAGCCATTAAAACTGAGGTAAAGTTGTTTTTACTTCGTTCTTAAACGCATGGGTACGTTGCGGAAGCTCTTATTCCTTTACTCTGCCATCGTTGTTGTTTGGTTATGTTGGTGCAGGGGTCGGCAACCCAAATGGTAAGAAGAACTGATTTAGCCTATTTCAATAAAAATCACACTAATTTGGGAGCCACAACATATGGCCATTTTTATTGGTGTAATGTTTCAATATCTTGGATGTGAACCCTGCTGAAAAAAACCATAGAAACTATAGGCTAAAAATATAATATGAATGAAAACGCAGACTTACTTTGCTCTGCTTTAAGCTTTAGCTCAGCTATAGCCACTTTTCTCGCATCTCCAGCAGGAAACTTTTTCGCAAAAGGTGGAAGATTTCCTGTAAAATGTCTCTGTGTTTACTTTTTAGTGTTTGATGGTTTCTCGTTGCAGATTAAATGTATCAGGAACCCAACTAGAGTGCATTTAAATGCAAAGTCCATTCGTCTCTAAATTCTTTATATTCATGTTGAATCTTTCTCTTCTTTTCCTTTTCATTAGCTACAAATTAGGCGAGATTGTTGTCTGTTGCTATGTGACCAGCAGTCTGCGCACTGATCTTCAGGGTTGAAGGGTGAATTAGCAGTTACCCAATTACTCCAGCGTTTAAGAACATTTATTGTTAAAACTGTGTTAGAACGATCAGCAGAGCTTTATTTTACGGTAATGGGGGATTATTATATTTTTTACCTAAAAATCTAATTCTGCTGTGGAGCCGCAACAGGGCAGTAAAAGAACCACGTTACCGATCTCTGTGCTAGCGGAAGTGGCATAACCCTACAGTGAAATGATTTTTTTTGGTCTCAGCAAGATGCAGTGGCACAATACTGACGGAAATGTAGAACCAATCAGCAGATAGCTATGTCATTACCCCATCAAATATTTCTGTGGCCCTAAGCACTATTAGCTAATGGACTAGCCATGCAAACATAGTTCACATACAGTTTGAGGCTTTGTCTGACTGTAAACTCAGTGTAGCGTATTTCTTTTGTTGTTGTTAGCCGTGTAGCCTTTAGCATGCTAACTAAGCAGTTGTTAGCAGTCATGTGTAACAGATGGAGTGTTTTGCAAGTCCATCTAATCGGATCTTATGGATTTGAAATGTT